GCTTTTTGGTTTTTCTGAAAAGGAGTGGAGCTGAAGCTATTCTCTCTCATGCTTTTGATGTAATAATCTGTAACACGTAAAAAAATGCTCTTTCCCCAAGCAGCAAAGAGGTCAACAACATCTCAGTCAACGTGCCGACGTTTTGGCTTTCGCCTTCGTTAGTGCTTGTGAAGTCGAATTTATTAGTGAATCATTGTCTTACACGCCGATATCAAAGCTGAAGTTACATTCATTCCCTGACTAGTACGGAAATCAAGGAAGAACTACGTACAACCAGGACTCACCGCAAATGGCAAAATAGGAGGTGCAATAATTACCAAACGTTGGAACAAAAGGCCTCCAAGGCTTTGCGTGCTAGCAGTTCGAGCTCGTAGGTCAGTATTTGGACTTTAACTTCTCCCATGGCGCTTTCTGCTGCGCAATGCGATGATTGTTCAGAAATGTTGCCGATTTCAGTTCATGGGACCCGTTCAGATGCCCGTTGATAATGAGTAGAGGGGACGTCCCGTTTTTCACATATGCTCTAACCGTACGAATCCGTTAGGGTATGAAGTAAGCACTGTACCAGTCATCCACTAAAATAGCTACACAATATGACAAATTTTGAAAGGTGTGTGCAGGAGTAGGAGAACGAAAGCCGCCATTTTGTGGCGCTCCCGCGGACCATTGGTCCTGAAAGGACATGCAACAACACCGCAAAAGGACCAGTTGGCCGTGAAAGGCGGTTCAAACTGGGCCTTCGTTCCCCTACCCTGTATGCAGCTTCTGGATAACCTTGCAAAAATGTTTTTTTGCTGTTGGTTCCGCGAAAAATCAACGCTGCTGTGCGTCCATGCATGTATCAAACGGTTCGCAGGACAGCGTTAAGGTGGTCTGTATTCCGCCCCCCAACCTGAAATGACGATCGGTTCAGTGGGTCCTCGCGCGAAACTGATGGGTTGCGCGATGAATCCGTGCGAAATACGAGCCTGGGGTCCAGTTTGGAGGCTTATATTTCAGCCACTGGTGAGTCACCTGCGCTGCCTCTTGGGCAGTGCCTTGTTAGGGCCCCAAAATTACTTTCTATAAAATCCTCGTAGGTCCAGATTTGCCTGGACGCTGTAAAGGCGTTGGTATGGCAAAATGGACCCAAGTCACATCTAATTAGGTACTGCCCCCCCCCCCCCCTCAAGTACACCATAGCCCCAATCGCACCCTTTAATTCATGGACTTTTTCCTGAAAGAGCGCTTCAAAACTCCACCAATCTAGCCGATTCAATGGAAGAGGGTGGTGCTGGTGAAGATTTGAAGCTCTTTCACAGGACTTAGTAAATAAAATGGAGGATGGGGCTGAGATTACTGTGTACTTGGAGAACCTACAACCTGAAACTACCAAAATCTGACAGGGGTCCACTTTGCAGAGGCGCTGCCTTTAAAAACATCTGGACGGGTTACATGAATTGGAGTCTGCCACGCCCTTAGCAGGTCAAAGCATTGTGCTCCGAGTACAAGTTGGAGATGGAATATTGAGTTCAGAGCCTGAACTGCTGGCGCACGAACATCTTCTGATCAAAATGGTCATCACCTACAGTTCTGTCTTCTAACATGCTAAGGTAAGCCCTGGCTGCCCGTAATTTTACTTCATTTTCGTACAAGGATTGAATGTTGTCTTGAAGGCAGCGGCTCGGCAGAATGAAAACTTTCGGATATTCATCATTCTCGGGTCTCCTGGAAGAGCTAAGTCAAATACTATACTTTGCAGCTTCAAAAGATATCGATAACCCGTATTCCAGACGTGAAAAGCGCTATTTGAGAGCGGACCACGTAATTGCCCTCTAGAGCGCGATTGGCTCGTGGGTACGGTGGCTACAGTATCTTCACTCACGAGCCAATCGCGCTCTAGAGAGCAATTACGCAGTCCGCCCTCAAATAGCGCTTTTCACGTCTGGAAAAGCGGGTTATTGATATCTTTTGAAGCTGCAAAGTATAGTATTGGACTTGGTTTTTTCAAGAGACCCAAGAATGATGAATATCCCAAAGTAGTCATTCTGCCAAGCCGCTGCCTTTGAGCTCCGTTGCCAAAAGATGTTCCACTGATACATTGGAAATTCCACGCTCTGACGAAGGCAATGAAACCGAGAAGTTTGCACGTTTTACAAAAAGTTGTTAACATCTTGACTGCTGCTTGAGGAGAGCACAGCATCACCTGATCAATGCTAAGTTTACTAAAACGCCAACGTTGAACTATTTTATTCTTTTTCCTTTCTTAACATCCATTAAAATTCTTTTCAGAGTTTGCATAAGGTACACATTGCTACTTTCAAATCACTGTATGAACCCACCTCTTTTTGTAGTATTTGCAGGGTGCTATGGAACATTTACTCTTGGGTGTATCTAAACAATGTACTGTTGCTGGTATGTCATATCAGAATAGAATTCGACGTTTTTCTATGTAAAGCAAGGAGTCTTTTGAGAAAAAAAATAATTTGGTTGAGTCACTAATGTGGAACAATCGAGTAACTTGAAATGTTGTTTCAAACGTAGTTATGTGCAGCAGAATTTCACTACTAGATTAGATAAGTGTTTGCCTTTCAATATTCAAAATATTCGTCACATGCTCAAACTAACATGGCCAGCATGTACAGTGGATTTTTCTGGCATGAAAGTTTTTGGAAATTGACATTATTTTCTTTTATTTCGTGGACTGTCGGAAATCTCATGGCTGTGAAGCATTTTTTATACATTATAGCTCACTGATCAACCAAGAGCTGTTTTAGCAGTTTTTGCATATGATTGATAACCTCCAAATGAGCCAGTAAGGAAGTTGTAGGATTTTTTGACGGGGTTATGACTTTTCGATCTTTCAGGCATTTGGAGATATTCTTAGTTATTGGCTCCAAACTTCCGTGAATCAAACTTATTGCAAATATTTTGAAGCTGTCTCGTATGGCTTGATTTGCTTCATCGTAAATTATGCGAAAACTTTAGAATGTAGAAGGAATATGACTTGCTGCGGAAACTCGTGGACCAGTGTCTTACTAGTCTAAATCACGCAGTTTTGCACCACAGTTGAGCTCGCGACATTTCTGATTTTGTCTATAATTTCGATCTGCACAAAAGACTCACGAATCACCTTTCTTAGCAAAAAACGATAAACTACATCCCAAATACTACATTCACAAATATAGTTGGTATTTTCTCTCAGTCAAAAAATCGAGATTCGTCGTCAAAACAGTGCTGAGATGTTCCTACAATAGTAATTGTATAATACACAAATTCTAAATTTCGCTCCTATTATCCAAGGTGAGTTTCATGTAGAATTTGATTTTTCTCGGGAACTAGATCTTTGGAAAATGGGAATTTTACGGTTGTACTACCTTATAATAACAACTACTATTGTGGCAACAGTTTCAAAAAAGCCAAGAATTATCCTCTCGTTGGTTGCTTGAGCGTAGTCCAAGATTGGTACAGTCGAGTAGATTTCCTGCTTAATATAGTGTCCCTGCAGACGCGACAACGCTGGGGCGTCAATAATTGCCTGACGAGTTCCCGAGCTAGTGTTTTCCAGTGTTTTCTTCGCTTATTCTATGATTTTTAGGTGATTCGTTGCTGATAAAGAAGAACAGGGTAAGTTAGAAGTAGTTTCTGTTTTCTGAGAAGTTCTATCATCGCATATTCACAGATATCCACATGGAAGCAGTTCGCGTCAGCTTCTTGTCTATTTTTTTGTCACTTCACATCTCTTTCTTCTTGTGAAGTACTACTTTGAACGCTAATGGGTTTTTACGATTGTCTTATTGTCTTTATCACATGAAGTACGTGATTAAAATGCTATTTCTTAGGTGAAAGCCGAAGTTGCTGCAAGACAAGCCAATTAGCGTTCAAAGAAACGCCTCACAAGAAGGAGGAGGTTTGAAAGAAGAAGAAGTAACAAAAGAAAAGGAAATGACAAAAAATAGACAAGAAGCTGACGCGAAATGCCTCCACGTGGATATCTGTGAATATGCGATGATAGAACTTCTCAGAAAACAGAAACTACTCTCTAACTTACCCTTTTCTTCTTTATCAGCAACGAATCAACTAAAAAAGCATGAAATAAGCAAAGAAAACATTGGAAAACACTAGCTCGGGAACTCGCAAGCCAATTATTGACGCCCTAGCGTTGTCGCGTCTGCAGGGATACTATATTAAGCAGAAAATCTACTCGACTGTACATATTTATCGCACAGAACAGAATACAGACTAACGTTGCGGCGAACTCGCCTTCTTCAGAGTCTGAAAAGTCGAAGACACATAAGTAAACTAGTTTACTCTTCGACCGTCTTCGACTTTTCAGACTCTGAAGAAGGCGAGTTCGCCGGAACGTTAGTCTGTATTCTGTTCTGTGCGATAAATCTGTACCAATCTTGGACTACGCTCAAGCAATCAACGAGAAGATAACACAATGCCAAGATTTATGGATAGTCGAACATGGATGCCCAAAAATTATCCACTCTCTCGATTTCTAGCAGAAGAAGAATTGGCAGCAACTGTTAGGTTATAGATTATGGGGGAAGCAAAGCTCAGGCAATGCGCAATCTTTTGGTCAAAGCCACAATTTTCCCTTTTTGGGAGTTTGGTGCTTATTAGTTTTTGACTCCAGATTTCATGTGTATCGCTTTTGGCGCAGATCTTTGAAAACATTCTTTTACAGGTTTCTTGGCTCTATCAAATGGCTGAAAAACCCTGGAAAATACCTAAAATATAGAAGAAGCATGGCTTTTACTCTGATGCAAGTCTTTGGATCAACCTAATACTAACTTTGAGATGTAAAAGACTCTTGTTAACGCTCTCTGCGCCTTAAGTCAAGTAAAATTTTAAAACTAGGATAAGATCTCGAGAGAAGGTGATCTCCGTTCAGCCAAATGTTAACTAAGTTGAACAAAGAAGATTTTTTCAACAGATCGCGAAAAATGTGCATTGAATTGGAACTATAAGCGGAAAATTTTTGTAAATCGAAGCCTAGAGCACCATAAATAAGATTAAAACTGACCTGGTGTAATAGGTGCTGGAGTAGTCAGCGGTGCTCTCGTTGATGCTACTGTAAGGTACAACTTTACCCCATGGTTGGGAACAAACAGAATGGTTCTTGTGTCCATATATACTTACCAGTGCAATTTCCAAGACAGTCATTCAAGTTTTCATATACTCCTCCGTTATAGGATTCATCTTCGCACGTTTTACATATGTACACATTCCTAGAGTAAGCAGTGTACTCATAACATTGGCAAACAACTTGAACTTTATGCTCTCACCTATTGAGCCCTTTCAAGAACACTCCTTCGCAAATGGAACTATCTGGATGCGAATCTATTAAAAAACCAATCAGCTACAATCTTTGTCTGACATTCATAGCGCGAATAGCCGCAATCTGGTAAGGTAAACAAGGCGGGAAATTCTACGTAATCCATCAGCTCAATTTGAATTTTTTGTATATTTTGTCATATCCGAGTTGACGAAAAGGTAATGAGCGCTTCTTATGTGACAATCGCAATGTGAATATCAAAAAATGTACAAAATATATCTTTTGAGGGCAAAGCAAGCTCTACTAGAAGACCAGACTTCACGAAATCGTTATTTACCTCTAACCTCGAAAAGTATTCAACCATCCGAAAAACTGGATCTCTGCCCATTATAAATTTTGCAAACCTGCCACTTAATCATCATAAATGGAAGCACGGTAAGATAAAAAATGAGTTGTTGGAAATTTAAGTCTAAAAGTTAGGGAACAAAATAAGCTAGAAATACGAAAATGTAGACTTTAACGAACTTCTGCGCTTTATGTGATACTTTTCGATGACAAGCGCACAAGTAGATCGAAATTTTAGTTTTAATTCCAGTTTGTAAAATATATTTGTATATGTAAAAGTAGCTCTTGAATCTATTTGCCAATTTTCAGCCATTATTCTGTTTTCTAACCAAAAATACTGCGATCACTAAATCAATACTTGCGCGCATATATTGTATGCTGATAAGCAGAAAGTTTGTAGTAGTTTTTTGAGTAAGGTCCATTTTTTTGGGGATTACTGTTTTATAAATTTCGACTCCAACTCTCATGCGGAATAGAATTGTGGATATCTGGCAATGGTTTAGAGCATCGTCAGCTTTACAGAATAATGCCATACATTTTTGTAATATCGTACTGCAGGTGTAGAAGCTAATATGATAAAAATAGGAAAATTAGTGGAACTTCGTATAATCACAATAATTTTCTCACTGAGCTGAGATCGAATACACAATACCATCTACGGACCTTTATTATATTGGCCTTGGGGGCCCTCATAATAGCTACTCTGATACGCAAAAGTTGAGATTTGTAATAGCAAAACGTTATGAACGTGTCCACAGGCGCTCTTTCGAAAACTTTTTCAGAAAGGGTTACTTGGAGGAAGCCAAGAGCAAGTCGAGATTAGACTCCACAAAGTTACAAAGGAGCAGTCGTCAAGTGTTGGAAAAAGAATCAAAATAACCAACCTCTGGTTGTTGACCTTGCCGTAGACGTAGATAAAGATGTCGTCGGTGCAATCGACGTTGCTGTGGTAGTTTCTGGTCCTAAAAAAAGTTAACATACTATGTGATAGAGAAAAAATAAGGTGATACTTACGACTGCACAAGTTTTGACAGTCAGTCCTATTTTTGCGAATGATGCTGCTATTATAAAGGCACATGTACTGGTGAGATCTAAAGAACAGAAATTTTGATGAGACAACAAACAAGGCTAAGAATGTTCTTGTAAACCTACTTCGTACTGTTTTCTCCATCCATAGGAATTCGGACGCAAAGATGGCTGCCTTAATAAAAATTGATAAGAAAATTAAAGAATCACTGTGTCGTAACCCACATGTTCTCTTCGGGTCATCGGTCAATCTCGTACCACGGAAACCATTCGTAGAGTAATAACATCTTGTGTATCCTGTGCCATTCCTGCAGAAAATAACATTGATAAAAAATATAGGGAAAAATCAAACGAATAGCTTACTTTTTCACTGTTTCGTTACAGTGACATTGTCCTTCATCAGTACCTTTAATGGGTCTCATAAGCAATGATAATGGCGAACAATTGCAAATAAATGCACAAAAATAAAGATCCTATCTTACTAAACAACACAAGCAATTTTGCCTTCATATTAATTATTCTTTATGTTGATACTTGCGAATAGTAGACTCCATTTCTCTACCATGTTGTTCTATTCTTTCTGCTCAGTTAAGAGAAAAGTAAGCAAGCAACTTTAGAAATAAGGATTTTTGCTGATTCCCTAGATCCTCTCTTCAATGCTTACATTCTCCTTGTAAGAGGTTGAAGAAAAACTGCTGAATTAAAGAAAGTGAAGGAATGGCAAAATTATTAGTGAGCAGCATTTCTATGCATGATTTCTGTACATATGCATAAAAATAAAAAATGAGACGTCCGTGCAATCGTTCTATCCCTCCATCCTTGTAAACTACTGATCGTGATTGTTGAAATAACCGCTGTTGTTTTTATTGAGTACTGGGTTTTCTCAAGTATTCAAGGCAGCGTACGGGCAGATCTGGACATTCTTGAATACTATCATAACCAGTACTAGGACCTTGATCTACAACTGTCGTGCAAATTCGAAACAAACTCTCAAACATCCGCTGTAAAAGGAGAAAATTGACGCAAAAAACGCCAAGCCTCGAGGACCACGCCCACTCTCGCACGGCCCGCCTCCTTGAACGAACTCTTCCCAGGCCTTGACGTGTTTTTATGTGGCAAACACAGCTGAACACATAGTGTCTACCGGTTGACGCTTGCTTTCGAAAAGGATAGTATTAGGAGCACTCGTCCAAATTTCTTACAAAATTGTCTCAAAAAGGGGGGGGGGGGTGAGGAATTCATATATTTTGAGTGCTACATTTGGAAGCAGCACCATGAAAAGGCCTGGATAAGGCCAAAAATAGAAGTCGAGATCCTGCATGAACGCTGCCTTCAAAGGCAGCGTACATCCAAAAGTTAAGTTACCCAATCCTCTATACCATGTATACACAGGGCTCAAAAGAAGACCAACTGCGTTGGTCCGGTCACCCAATGTTGCTTCTGAGCGGAAAAAACCCGCCTGATTTTTCTTTCACTCCGCCCCTTTCCTTTCACTCCGCCTCATTCGGACGACGAATCCACGACAGCATACGCTCCAGTTGCTTGCAACTACAGACTGTCATGGGATTGCAGCTGCTTCTCGCTGGCATGCCAAAGGGGCCGAGCAGTTCGAAATTCGTCCGCCCTTTAGAGAGAGGGTCCCGGGAATAGGGGTTTTTGGGGGTTTTGGAGAACTTCAATGTCATAACTGTAATCAGGGGCACTGAAAAGCCCCAGAATGACAAAAACATCGAAGGTGGAATTTTGGGTGTACGCTATCTTTAAGGCTTACTATCAGGCTACAATACTGATTACGCAGGTTAGATGCGAAAAGCGTAAAAAAGAAAGAAAGCGACAGAAAGCGTAGTTAGCTCAGTAAAGCCAAAAAGTATTCAACTACCTAAAAAATTGGATCTCTGCCTATTATAAATTTTGCAAGCTTCCCACTTGGCCGTCATACATAGACAGAAAGACAAATGCGCTAGCTGGAAATTTGGGTTTAGAAGTGAAGAAACAGAGTAAGCTAGAAATACGAAAATGTGGAGTTCAACGGACTTTTGCGCTTTACGTGATATTTTTCGATGATTAGCCACATAGTAGATCAAGATTTTGGTTCTACTTCCACACCATTGTGAAATATAATCACATATGTATTAGGTTGCTGCATAAGTTCTGTCCGAATTTTTTTGCCTCATGTTTGAAGCAGCTGTTCCAACAGAATTTCATATCTAATACGATATTGTTAGTACCATTAGAAAGTGCTTTTCTTGCTCTTTCTAGCGCATGTCAAATTTCAATAAATTTCTTAATGTAAGAATTTTAGACTTAAAATCTCGAAGTGACCGAGATACATTCTCGCCCTAGAAATATGTTCTTGTAAGAAAATCTCCACAGTGCGCATTTCATGTCAGGTCCTTCCACCGGTTTCGTAATAAGGGTGTGACAGGCTAGTAACTGCACAAGCTCAAATTTATGAAGAAAACGTCTTGCTAGTAAAATCTATTGTCGAACATTAATTTTTTGTATAAAAGTTTTACAAGCAATAACTTCCTGCAAATAGAAGTAATCGATGAGGTCAAAGTTGGAGGTGCTAGGGTAAAGCAAGAGCTAGAAGATTCCATCCACCAATTCTTTTTCTGCCCTCAAGTCCATTGTAAAATTTTCATAATTCGTAAATAGGCATGCACACATGTGCTGAAGCGAGGTCAAAAAGTGGCTCCTTTTTTGCTCGGTGAAATAAATCTCTCAGCAGCGCAGACCCTATGAGCTCCTTTATGTTGCAGAATAATTTACGAAAATTCCTCTATCTATCCATTGTTAGATAAGATGCCTATCAATTCTCATAAGGGAGCATTGCCATGTCAAAAAAGACAGGTTTGAAGAAAAATGTTATAAAGTTTTCGAGTTCTTGCTTTTTCCTTAACAAGGTTTTTCGCAATTCTCAATATGCTTCCGATAGCAAAGAAACTGCTCAACAGATAGAGACTAAGATCTTGGAAAAAGATTGATTTTAAACGAAGTTATGACACTTTGAACTCAAAAAATTCAAATCGGACAGAACTTATGCAGCAACCTAATCTTATATGATTGGTTCGTGATTCTGTTTGCCATTTTTCGGCCATTACTCTTTCTCTGACTGAATAAATGTTTGTGCGCGTATGTTAAATGCTTAAGGGGGAGGTTTCCAGGATTTTTCTGGATTAGACCCAATTTCGACTCCGACTTTCATGCGGAATAGGATTGTGGAGACCTGACAATGGTTTAGAGCATCCTTAGCTCAACAAAATAATGTCATGCATTTTTTTATTTTCATAGTGCAACTGTAGAACTAATACGATTGAAAATTAGGAAATTAATGAAGCTTCATGAAATCACGACAACTTTCTCACTGTATCGAGCTGAGATTGAATACCTAATTGAACTCTTATGCAGGCTTTGGCGGCCCTCCTAATAGCTACTCTAATGCACAAAAGCTGGAATTTGTAATCTCATCAAAGTGTTTTGAATGTGTCCATGGGTGCTCTTTTGGAAAAATTTTCAAAATGCGTACTTGGAGAAAGCCATGAGCAGGTCGAGATTAGACTACATAAAGCAAAAAAGACCGATTGTCAAGTGCTGAACCACTAAAATAACCAACCTCTGGTTGTTGTGCTTGCCGTAGACGTAGATAAAGATGTCGTCGGTGCAATCGACGTTGCTGTGGTAGTTTCTGGTCCTAAGAACAGAAATATACTACAGCAACAGAGGAAAAATTATTACTTACGTCTGCACAATCGCTGACAGTCTGTTCTACTGTCATCAATAATGCTGGTATTGTAGATGCACATGTACCTTCTAATTAACAGAAATTTTGCTGAGAAAACAAGCAAGCCAAAGAAGTTTTTGTAAACCTACTTTAGGCTGTTTTCTCCTTCCACAAGAACTTTGATGCAAAGATGGCTGCCTTAATTAAAAAAAATTCATAAGAAAATCGAAAAAATCATTGTGTCGTAACCCACATGTTCTCTTCGGGTCATCGGTCAATCTCGTACCACGGAAACCATTCGTAGAGTAATAACATCTTGTGTATCCTGTGCCATTCCTGCAGAAAATAACATTGATAAAAAATATAGGGAAAAATCAAACGAATAGCTTACTTTTTCACTGTTTCGTTACAGTGACATTGTCCTTCATCAGTACCTTTAATGGATTTCATAAGCAATGATAATGGCAGAAAATTGCAAATAAATTCGTCAAAATAAAGCTCCTATTTTGTTTTATTAGGCTGAACTAAAAGTTCTGTCTTTCCGATTTTGAAAATTTCGTAACTGCTCCGTATGTAAATACATTTGCTTACAGAAATTGCACCAGAAAGAAAAATTTTCTTCTTTCTAACGGCATCTTCAAGGCTGTTCGACGACAAAGGACTGCAGAGACTGCAGAGATAATAATTTGAATAGGATAACGACTCGGCTTTAAATAAATCGTCTAAAATCTGAACGCTGCAGAAAAATCTGAGAGAATGTCTCCTATATTTTAGGTTCCCGAAAGTTTTGTCCGTTTTTTCAAACCACTATCAAACAACGCGCAATGATGACTGGAACGAGCTTCAACATGCATTCGATGCACCTTTTTCTTCCCTTTCTCAAAGGTATATTTTGAAACCACAATCTTGTATATTTTTCTTGATAATTGCCAAAATTCTCCACACGTCAATTTTAACTGCTCAAAGGCCAATTTTCAAAAATTTCGTTCCAAAGTTCCGGAAAGATCTAAATATGGATCAAATAGAGCTAGTTTCGGACTACAAGATGGTATTTTTAGATTCTCCTAATCTGCTGTCTTTAGCTTCAAAAATTATTTTTTCGAAGGTGTTACGCAACTGCAGCAAATGTACGAAAGTTTTTGAAGTTCTTGCGAATTGAAACATGATTCTTGTTAAACATTACTTATACAACATTATCAAGTTTGAATTTTGGGAATTTTCGGTACTTTTACGTGGTAAATGTAATCAAAAAGTCGCGGTTTTCATTAAATAAATAATTATAACGGACTTGGCAAGCGTATTTCATGTAATCTAAAATAGGTACAATGTAGCCAAAGGTTTGCTCTACATAATACTTAACAGGGCTCTTTGAAAACACTAAGAAAAAATTTATTAAAACAAAGGGAAGATTTGCCGTTATTGTTGAGCTGCTCAAAAAGCCATGACGACAAGATGGCAAACACAGCATAGATCAGAGAACAAATATAGCTGTAGTGAAGGGGATGAAATTCTGAATCAAATGATACCTAAGTCGTCCATGGATTGATGTTTAGCAAGTTTTAGGAGAGATGAAAAAACGGACAAAACTTCCGGGGCAACCTAATACAGGGTGTCCCAAAAAGATGTGCACACTGTTTGATTGTTAATAACTCTCTTGCTTTCATGTCTTTTGCCGAGCTTGAGGTACCATTCTTTAGAGCGAGGTCCAACTTAGATTCGTAGTATGGAGCGACCTATCAGCCGCTCTTTATTACTGTAGGATTACGGTAGGAATTTCGAGAACGACTTTCAGCCATTGAGAGCGGTATTTTGCATCAGAAAGAAAGCCAAACAAGCCAGAAGCTCTTGAACTGGGTTAATCAAAGTCGCTGATTCTGAATATGAAAATTGCACACCAGTACACTGTTTCTTTCATGAGTTATTTCAGATTTAGGGTAACAAGTGATTTTCCAATGTCGTCAGAAATGTGACTACGCCATCAAGAAAGTTCGAAAAACTGGTGGGAAGTTATGTAGTGAGATCAGCACGCCTGAAAACCTTGCTACATCAAATTTTTAGATTTTTTTGAAATTATTTCATCAAAATGCTTATTCCACAGTGACGCCGCATGCTGAAAGTTCATACCGTGATCCTGTAATGAAAAGTGATTGGTGATTCGCTCCATACTGTAAATCTAAGTTTATCCTCGCTCTACAGAATGGTACCTCAAGCTCGGCAAAAGACTTGAAAGCAAGAGAGTTATTAACGATCAAACAGTGTCATCTTTTTGGGACACTCTGTATTTTGTGACCTGCTTTTTCTAATGGGCTAATTGAGCTTGTCTACGAAAAGTTATAATTTTCAAAGTCAAAAAAAGAGCAATTGTCAAGTGCTGAACTGCCAAAATAACCAACCTCTGGTTGTTGTGCTTGACATAGGCGTAGGTAAAGATGTTGTAGGTGCAATCGATGTTTCTGTGGTAGTTTCTGGTCCTAAAAAAGTTAACATATTACGTGATAGAAAAAAAATAAGGTGATACTTACGACTGCACAAACTCTGACAGTAAGTTCTAGTTTTGGTAATGATGCTGCTATTATAAAGGCACATGTACTGGTAAGATCTAAAGAACAGAAATTTTGATGAGACAACAAACAAGACTAAGAATGTTCTTGAACCTAAACCTACTTCGTGCTGTTTTCTCCATCCATAGGAATTCGTACGCAAAGATGGCTGCCTTAATATAAAATGTATAAGTAAAATTAAAGAATCATTGTGTCGTAACCCACATGTTCTCTTCGGGTTATCGGTCAATCTCGTACCACGGAAACCATTCGTAGAGTAATAACATCTTTTGAATCTTGTGCCATTCCTGCAGAAAATAATATTGATAAAAAATATAGGGAAAAATTAAACGAATAGCTTACTTTTTCACTGTTTCGTTACAGTGACATTGTGCTTCATCAGTACCTTTAATGGATTTCATAAGCAATAATAATGGCAGAAAATTGCAGATAAATGCGTGATATAAAGCTCCTATTTTATTTTATTAAATCGAACCAAAAGTTCTGTCGCTCTGATTTTGAAAATTTCGTAACTGCTCCTTATGTAAATACATTTACTTACAGAAACTGCACCAGAAAGAAAAATTCTTCTTCTTTCTAACAGCACCTTCAAGGCTGTTTGGCGACAAACGACTGCAGAGATAATAATTTGAATAGGATAACCACTCAAATTCGGCTTTTCAGAAATAAATCGCCTAAAATCTGAACGCTGCAGAAAAATCTGAGAGAATGTTTCCTATATATTTTGTGCCTGCTTTTTCTAATAGGCTAATTGAGCTTGTCTACGAAAAGTTGTAATTTTCGTGAAAATGCTAAAAAATGCGAAAAAAACGTCATTTTTGGGGTTTTTGGCACTTCTCACAAAAATCATAACTTTTCGTAGAAAAGCTCAGTCAGCACAATATTGGCACTTTTACAAAGAGTAGCTCACACGATCTCCAAAAAGCATGCAAGTTTTTCTGCAGCGTTTGGATTTTTGACGATTTATTTCTTTCCGAAAATCGGGAGTGTGAATGGTCCTCCTTTTCTGATTTTTATCTCTGAACCCTCTTGTAGCAAAGCGCAGCGACGACACTATTACACACTAGATGAGTTTTTCTTTCTATTTAGATTTTTTATAAGCAGGTGCGCTCAATAGCATATTACAAGGAATTTTCTTACGCCCAGCTCAAAGCCATCTGTTACCGGTGCTATCCTTAAAATGTTCTAAATACGGTTAGTTTTTTCCACGTCAACTTAATCCTTAGTACATTTAGCTAATGCAACTTTCTCATTCTGCATTGCTAATGACAACATGAAACTTATCAACGTTCGATTGCGAGTTATTATAAAATTTGATTGTGGCTAGTACAAAAAAAAATGCAAAAGGTAACATTTTTCGAGTGCTAAACAAAGGAAAAAAAATTACCTTTGCTTCTTGTTGTTGCTACCGTACTTGTAGACACAGTGACAGTCGGTGTGGATGTTCTTATTTCAGTGCTGTTCACTACAACGGCTACCAACATACTGTGGCCATAAAAATTCCTAATATTAGATTGTCCCAAAAGTTTTGTCCGTTTTTTCAACCTATCATAAAAACGCGTGGAAGGAAGATAGGGAAACGCTCTAAGCACTATCCGACGCATCTTTTTCTTCTCTTTCTAACTGTCATGCTTCCATGCCCAGTACTCTTTTGTTCACTGAGATAAACGCCGAAATTTCGAACACATGGTTTTTACTATGTCCAAGTTTGGCAGTTTTTCACAATCTTTATTTTTGACTTTCGGAAAAGCTTTGGCAACAGTTAGATAGAGCAAACAAAGGGCAATATAATGCAATTTTGCGGCATCTATAGCCTTGAAAGCCTTGAAAATTTTTTAGAATTATTTTTCTGATGCTATTAAATTCCACTTTTGGTGATGCCAAAAGCCAGAGATCATGAAACGGCGCACAACTAAGGTGTTACTCGATGCAGCTTTTCCTTCTTTTTCCAGCTAGTGTACTTTCTCTCCAATTTGCGGTCCTTGGCGAGAAAATTTTCATAATTCTTTTATTTGACCCCACCCCAGCTGTACACGTAAAATGCAAAATCTTATATTTCGAAGCGGTAGACGCTCATTTGCTTCGTAAAGTAAATAATCGTAGTCGGTTTTTGAAAGCTTCAAAATCCGAGGATTTGGTAGTGTTTGAGGCGTTTCTGTATTTTAGAACTTCGCAAAAGTGAAGACTTTTGAAAAAATTATCTATAAAAATATTGAAAAGCCAGCTAGATATGCCAAATAATTGCATTGCATTGCGTTTGCTTACTCTATCTGATGGCTATCAAAGCTTTTCCAAAAGTTGAAAATGAAGATTGTGAAAAATTGTCAAACTTGCACATAGAAACCATGGGTTCGAAATTTCGGCGTTTATCTCAGTAAGCAAAAGAGTAATCGGCATGTGGGCTTGACAGTTAGAAAGAGGAGGAAAAGTTGCGTCGGGTAATGCTTAGAGCGTTTCCCTAACTTTATTCTTTACGTATTTAAAAATACGTACTTTACGTATTTTTATGATAGGTTGACAAAACGGACAAAACTTTTGGGACAACCTACATAATATGACACTCACGTTTGCACATCTCTTGACATATAGTCAAATTCTTATTAGTGATGTTGTTATTGTGGAAGCACATGTATTGTTCAAATCTGAATAATTGAAATTTGTATAAGTAACGAATGAATGAGATATTACCCTTAAACTTACGCTTGTATATATTTTCCACGCTTAGGAGTAGCAATGCAAAGATAATTGCCTTAATCAACACCCATTTTTATACTGAACAATAAACGTGATCTACTAATGCTCACATATTTCAGGATCTTCGGTTATCTTGAAGCCCCTATTGCCATCAATAGTGTATTCACAGTTATAGTACTCGGTGCCACCACTGAAAAGCTGTGATTTAAATCTGTTTGAGCTCGTAAAACTTTCCGTTATCTCACCTTCCCTGGATCTTTTCACTGCAGGAGCATTGTTTTGATCTCTCGGGGCCTAAACCGGATATCATAGGTAAAAAATAGTTTTGCAACCAATGAAAAAAATTCTTGCAATCTATTTTTGTAAGAAATTTCATTCCGCAACGATTCTAAGTATGGCGTATTCTTATTCGGATATTTGTAATCAAAATAAATGAAATTTTATGATCTCCTGCAGCAAGTGACGAAGCTATCAACTGTTTGAACTACAGGATGTGTATATTAGGTTGGCACATAAGTAATGCAACTTTTTATATAACTTTTGTCTATTTGAACGTAGCGCATTCATATTTTGGCAGTATAAGGAATATGATGTAAGCTTCTAATGCACACATTTTTGCCGAATTTTACCACCTTATGTGAGGATTACGGTAGGTTTACGGTACTATGGGAAAAATTTTAGAATGCATCAGATTTTGATGAAACTTGGCCTATAGGGCTTATTTGACATGCTGATCACAAAAATGAGATCCATTTCGCACGAAAAAGCCTCGTTCGTGAGATCAAAAAATGAATTTCATTTTAGCGACAAATGAATATGATATTAGTGTTTATCGCATAGGATTACCCTATAGTGCAAAGTTATAGCGAGTTCTGACTTTTCGCAGCTTAGTTATTGACAAATTGCCTTCAAAACTTGACGCATTTGACTTGTTCAACTTCTCAAAGGCGCCCCACCTTGATTTGTGGTTAAATTTCATTTCTTTTTCACTGATTCCAGTGCGCCAACTTCCAGCTACATGGTGCCTATAATTGCTTTTCCATATGTTTGAATCAGGTCTAGTAGGGCTTCATGTTTGCCAAAAAATCGTGAAACCTCGATTTTTCGCAGTTTTCAAAAAATGCTTAGATTTTTTGTACTACGTTATCAAAAATCAAACGGTTTGCGCAGACTTGCAGCTTACATCACCGTCTACATGATGCCTCAAAATGAGATTGCTATATAGAATAGAAAAAAAGTTACGGGAAAAGTTGCAAAACTTATGTGCCAACCTAATACTTGACTATTGCATGAATATACATTTGGCAGCCCTTTGTGAATTAACAGTAACCAATATTTGACATGAATAAAAAATTAGGCAAAATCTGGCCCCGTTCAGCTCAGTAAAAAGAAAATATAGCTTGGTCGTGATCTGACTAGTCATTGAGATCAAGTACATATTCATGGAGCTCTGGAAAAAATATTGCAGCTTACTAGAAATGGAAACTGATATCATTTTACACCTATATTACAAAAACCTTACTGCGAAAAGGATAAGAAGAATTATACGCTTCTCTGATTGCAAACTGCTTTGCTTTTCTGCGGACCAGATCTCCGAAAGGTTATGAGCGTTGGAAGCCCAAGTTTCTCCGAACTCTGAGTGGCATAAAATCAGCGAAAAGCTGTGAATCCCCGTGAAAAATTCTACTGACTTTCGTTCCTCCTTGCAGTCAGTATACTTATAGAAAATTGTTCGACCAATTTCAGGTGCTTTTGCACAGCTTTTCGCTGAATTTATCCCACTTAAAGACAGTGTCCGGGCAATAAGTCGATTTTGAGATTTTGTGCTTACCCGGGCCTATTCACTATGCTGAATCCGAAAATCCACACTGGAAAGCGCGAAAACGGCAAAAAAGGGCTCTAACGCAGGAGGAAAAACGGAAGTGGGCGGGGTCCTCCACACTGTGAATTTCGCAGTCCCAGCTTCTGAAGCGATCTTCCCAATTCCTCTAACGCCCTGAGATCTCCATCGGCCAGGTGCGAATGCATGACTTGAAATCGGAACCGAGAAGATCGCTCTGGAAGCTGGGAGCGTGAATTCACAGTGGGGAGGACCCCGCCCACCTGCCAATTTCCGTCCCGTGTTAGAGCCGTTTTTCGCCGTTTTCGCGCTCTCCCATGTGCATTTTCGGATTCAGCGTAGCGAATAGGCCCGGGTTTGCCCGGACACTGCCTTTAAAAGGCAGTGTCCCGGCAAGGTTGAGGTGTGCCGAGCTTCTGTAGCTAATGACTGAAATATGGAGCGAAAAAGAGGCATACTAATCCGGAATCAACCGCGAAAATGGCCCAAATCTTACGATAAATCCGGACCCCGCACAATGATGTAAAACTGCACGGCTAGAGCTCGCATAACGTACACAATAATGACCGTAGGGTCCCACAACGACTCTACGTCTTGAACTTGGCACCGCGCCCTCACTTCAAGAAATCGGTTATAGGAAAAGAACATTTTGACATTTTCGCGCTCTGCAAGCTGCGCAAAAAATCAGCGCGACGGAAATCTCTTCAGACAAACGGAAAATCTTCAAATTCAGATTCCGCTGAGACGCTGCTTTCAACGCTTGACAAATTTGAACTTCCGTCGATTATGACTGTTTCCGGAGATTTGCTTTGCAGCAATAAAAAGCAGATTTGAAATTATTGTTCGAAGTTGCGTCCAGTGATATACAATTCTTTTCGATTTGCCATTGTAACTTGGTATCCTTCTCTTACTAGCGTAGAGTACCAACATCTTTACATTGAAAAGGTTCCTTGGAATTCAAATAACCCGGACATTTTGCGGTTAGAAAAAATGCAAAACAAGATGAAATACTTTCGATTTTCCCAAGTTATTTCCTTGGTAACTGATACAGGGTAGTCAATAAAAACACTTATTCCCTAGAGAGAAATTTTCCTCGTTTAATAGATTTCATTTCGCTTTCAGTAGATACCATTTGATTCAACTGGCATGGCTTCGGGAAGGCAGGGCTTCATGACCTAATTAAGACTAGGTTATGATCAGAGAGTAGCGCGAGAGAGACGCAGGTGTGTTGCGGGCGCGAGCGGCCTCAATTAGGTCACAAAGCCCCGCCTTCCCGAAGCCAAGCCAGTTGAATCAAAGGTAGTTATATTCCCATGAGTGTAGATTCTTAAGAAATGATGACGGTCCTGGTATGGCTCACCTCTAGTAACGACAGAGGTAGCACCCGCAGTTGTTGCAGTACTGGAAGACATCTCATACGACGATGTTGTTGGTCCTGACGAAGATGGGGTCGGTGATGGAGAGGGTGCTGTAGATGACAACATGGATAGAGTCAGATTATATTATCATAATTCATCCTTACAACCAATGTTTTCTGAGGAAGGGATTAATAAAAAGACCTTACCCTCTGTTGAACTTGATGTCGATGATTGAGTAGTTGTGGTTGTGGTTGATGTACTCTCAGAGGTCATGATAGTAGTGATGCTCTCTGCAAATTGCGATTCTGAGGGATCTCTATTTCAGAACTTGCAATATTTTTTAGCTCATAAGGCATCAGCGCAGATTAGAGTGCCAACCAGGGTCAAGCGTGCTGATGCGATGCGGGACCCTCATTTACGACCCCCCCCCCCTTGAGGGTATCCATCCGTACGACACCCCCCCCCCCCCCCCACCCTCACCCATTTATCCCTCTTACCTCCCCTGCCCGCATTCCTCGCGATAACCTGCATAAACGAATGTCAATCTCAAAAAACACCTGCTTAGGGACTTCAGTGAGGTTTCGGAAGCAGAATTTCTAGGCCAATGGGTGCGTCCATCAACTGTAGCACACATACCGTTAATAATGTTTGAGATTCTGCAAGTTTTTTTTGAATTTTCAGGCATACTTCAGGCCAGCAAATTCGGTTCCCGTATACGACACAAATTTTTGCACCGAGAAAAAAAATGATATTCTTGAACTACAAAAGATGTTTTCGACCGAGAAGCTTACTTCCTACCTCTTCCACAGTTTTTCCCGCGAAAAAAAAACCGCTTGAGCGCCGTCTAGAACGACGTCAAAAACGTGCATGAGCACGGTAGTTTGAAAATTCGTAACTAAGGCCAGGAAAAGACTGAGAGGCTGCAAAGCACAGGCTCTGTAGCATAGCGCCCAGAATATCCATAGAAAAAGTTTTAACTCTTGAGGAGCAGTAAGCTCGAAAAAATTTAGATGCGACTCTCGCAAATTTAGATGCGATCCCAAATAGCAAAAAGTGGGATTTTTGAGCATGAAATTTTGTAACTTACCAGAGAAGTTATAAAACAGCCTGCAATTTTTACGAGGGAAAGTAGGAGGATGGCCTTATATTACAGCAGAATTGCAGCCAACAAGCTTCAATAGCTCCGAAGAAATTTAGATGCGACCCAGATACGACCCCCCTCTCCTGACTTTTTGCTACCATACATAAAATCATGAGAAAATCCACAGTTGACAAAATAACACCAAATTCTGCAATTATATAGCAGAGCATCTCAAAAGTACAGATAAATCATATGAGCCCGTGAAAAACATTACAAAAAGATTTAGAATTTTATGGTGGTCACAGCTGGTAAAGATATTCGCTTTTGTCGAATGTGTGAGACTTCAGGAAGGCTTCAGAAGCAAGATTTCTAGGGCAATCGGTACATTTAGCAATTTTATCAAAAAATATATCCTTCAAAAGTGTTTTGAGCTCTTGTAAATGTTTTTTTTGAGAATTTCAACGGATTCTTTATCTTTTTTATTCTGATTTCCACTTTTTTAATAGATTTATTGTAAAGAACATAAATAATTGTCTGCTTTTACATTCCCTTTGAAGCCTAGGGTATTTAGCCTAATTAACTCCTTTCACGACCCCCCCCCCACCTTAGACACCCTCTTACGACCCCCCCCCCCCGTTGCAACAGTCGCATCACAAGCTTGACCTTGGTTATAATGCTTTTGGTAGAAATGCTACTGAACGGTTCTGATGTAACTACTGTGAAAAAAGTTGGTTGATTTTTGCTTTTGCAAAGTATTTAAATCAGTACTTAGCAAATTAATCGATGTACAAAAACTATTATCCAGCATTCACTTATCGAATTATGAAATAATTTGTTTGTCTATGAATTGCTCCCCTACCTTCAGTTGTCTCTGTTTCCCTGACGCACAGATCTGTGCATTGCTGTTCAGTACTGAAGCAACCCTTAGATTGGGAGATCACGCACTTGTTGAGTGTGAAGTCATAGCGGTATCTGAGTCATTGTCATCAGAAAAAAATATGCTTCACGTAATACTCACCCCGACGCTTTTTCGCATGGTATTGCTCCTCCTTTTACTTGGGGTGGGAAGCAGAGATCCCCTGAATTGAAAAACTGTAAATTCAGCGTGAAAATCGTGTCTTCTTATAGATAGGAATCAAAGTTGAAATGTATTAGAAACAGTTCAAAGGTTTAAATGTTGAGGAGCGTTTTTTCAACAGTTGTAGGGACAAAACTCTCACTTGCATTCCTTGGAGAACACGCTAGCCAGCAATCCTCTATAGTCTTGAATCTGTTTTCATTGCCTCCGTTGCCTCGATAAATAAGTATGTGGCATTCGTCTCTTTCTGCCGAGTAATAAAACCTTAATTGACAATGAACTATAGCATATAATAAATAGAAAGCTTTTTGGGAGTGACTAACTGGAACAGCATTTGGTCACCCGTTCCTGGGTGTTCCGGCAGTTGGCATATATCTGCAAAATGAAGTTTATGTTTTGTAAATGTTTGTATATCTAATGAAAATAATTTGGAAAAAACTCTTGGAAAAATCGTTTTGGAAAAAAAGGTTCCTAGGTACATAGACAACGTTGCTCAATTTTTTATTACTGCGCGATTAGCCAGTGGTCGGAACTTTGCGGCACAGCAATATTTTCTTTGGAAGAAGGGCATGGCTGAAGTCACATCATTCGGATTTTTTTTTTTGAAAAAGCTCAAAGCTGTTTCCAGGTTGCTTATAGAAGATGATGAAGCTGTATTATTACTTCCTCGATAATTTTCATAACATTCTCATTCTCATGTTTTTGGAGGCTTTATTGGTCATGGTGGCGGCAGGTAGGCTCTCAAAAGTTGGAACAAAGCTGTACTTCCGAGAATATTGATACCATTTTTATCATCACTTAAAGTTGCTCGTGATTCGATAATTACGCAGAACTGTTTTAGAACCGTTCCACCTCCACAATTGCGTCTGAAACTGTTTTTTCACCCACACGTATGCAGCGAAAATTTTTTGTAAGACGCAATGTGGAATCTTTTCAACCCTTCGAAGAATTGTTTAACGCGGCCCAAGATGAGTAGTAAAGTAGGTAGGGGATTTTTTCCTTGAACCATCGCTAGCCGATATTGCATCTATTTCTCAAAAGCAGGTAAGCATTAGTTTCTTTGCAATCATATCATAGCAAAAAGAATCCTGTTTAACGCCTCCGGATTTTTTTCGCGCCCATGGCGGATAAGGTTATTTGTATCTGCCGCTGATGGTGTGGAGAATTTTATCTAAGTTGGTGAAATTGAAGTGTGCAGTGTGGAAAAATATATGGAGCCTGAGCAACAAACCAGATCTCGATTTTTTGTGCGACTGTTAACTATTTAGATCTTATGCTGATCACACTACAAATTATTATCCACGTGAGATCTGCTTTGAGAATTTTTTTTGGCTAAGCAGCTCCCCGACTTGTAATTTTATTCGCTGCAAAAAGCGAACGGCAGAGCTACCTAAGCAGCCTGGCAGTAATATGTCAGGCGTTTTGCTAAAAAAAATAACGCGGTAAAATTTTGGTAGGCTGTTACTACTTTCGTTGATGACTTGTAAAAAATGCGGAACGTAAGGGAGAGGGGCACATTAGAATGCAAATTTTTTTGCCCACATGAACTTGAAACTGTGCAAGTGTCTGTAAGCAGTTCAAGATTTGTTTCATATTTTGTGTATCTGGCTTGTGAAAAAAAAGTTTCTGGGGGGGGGGGCTATTAACCCGTCGAGAAAGTGGAAAACATTTTGGAAAAATTTTCGCATGCTCACAACCTTCGGATCCCAGGTCCCTCTTCTGGATGGCCCAATTAAAATTTTTGCCCCTTCTCTGGCCCGTACCTGGGATTGTAGTTGTAGACGATACTTGCGTTGATGTTGAAGTAGTTGTTGTAGCAGATATTGTTGTCATGACGGGTGTTGTCGTAGATCCTGTCGAGAGTAGATTTAACGGTAGATTTTATCGGGGTGTAAAAAATAACACTCAAAAATATAGGTATTGTGCATTGTTCGCGGACCCTAAGTCTAGGACCTAGTATATCGCAAAGTTATAGGCATTCCGTATATCTCACACTTTTATTTAGATTCATGCCCCGACAGCATTTTATGGGATTTCAGTTTGTTGAACATCTTCAAATTCGACATTGGCAGTCTACAAATGCATAGCTTATTAACTTCCGCGTAATAACAGAATGCCCTAGCCTCTGTACATTCAGAATGCGCTTACGATGAGCTAAACATCTGAAGTAATGCCAAATCCAAAGGTGAGAGTCTTTGCTATCAAAAAGTGTTGGAAAGGGCAGCTCAAAAATCTCTATGCTTCAGTGGTCCAAAGGTGTTTTTGTTTCAGCTTTTAATTTGAAGTGCTTTACTGTTCTTTACTATAGAAGTATTGAACGGAAGGATTGAGTCTGGTCAGTAGAGACAATGAACTAAACAAGCAAGGTAGACGCGGTGTCTGTTTGCATTGAACTAATAGCTCAACTCATTTGGGGTGAACGGCTCAGCTTGCATTAGATCTAGATGGTATTGGAGTTCACTTAAAGGCAGTGGCTTGGCAAAATAACCCTTGTCACATTTTGTATTAGGTTGTCCGGTAATTAATGCAGGTTTTGACTTCCAACCGCAATAAGTCATATGCTTCTCATTCCTACATAGGTTGTAAAATACCATTCGACAGAGCAAAGCAAGCTTTACAAAAAGGCTATCTTGCTTTTACAAGTGCTTTCATTTACCTCGAGTTCCAGCCAAAAACTAAAAAGATTCAGCTGCTTGAAAAATCGAGAAAAATTGTAACTCAGTTGAAATAACCCGACAAAAGCTCTAACTTGTTCACGCAAACGCTATTCACATAAGACATCTATATACGCTGTTGCCGTACTTTTTTCTCTTTAGAAATCAAGAAAAGGGAAAATTTCGTACATTTGCCAAAGTGAAGCTGTGCCTTCCTCACATAAGTGGTTGTATACTACAAACCTGTAGAAGCACAAACGTAAGTTTTCAGCTCTTTGCAAGCTTTGGTTCTCGAGAAATATCGAATATAGCTTTCCCTGGTCAGGTGGTTCAAGCTAAAATTCAAATTTCTCGAGAATTACAGTGTGATTGTTAGTGTAATTATTTCGAGAATTAGTTTAATTGTAAAGCTTGTAGAGAGCTGAAAATTTATGTTTACACTTCTACAGGTTTGTAGAATACGACTAGTTATGTGAGGACGGCACAGCAACACTTGGGCAAGTGTACGAAATTTTTCGTTTTCTTGATTTCTAACGCAGAAAAATATGGCAACGGCGTTTATAGATGTCCTATGTGGAGAGTGTTCACGTGAGCAAGTTAGAATTTTTGTAGGACTTTTATGAACTGAGTTACGATCTTTCTCCGTTTTTCGGAAGATTGAATCTTTTTTTGTTTTTGACTCGAAACTCGTGGTGGATCGGAGCTATTGCTAGAGCAAGAGAGCCATCTTGTAGAGATTACTTTGCTCTATTAAATGGTACTTGGCGACCTTTTTAGAAATGAGAAGTGTATGACTTATCTCGGTTGAAATCCAGACCAGGGTCAAGCATGTTGATGCGATCCGGGACCCTCACTTACGACCCCCCCCCCCTGAAGGTATCCATCCGTACGACCCCCCGCCCCATCTACCCCCCGCCTCATCTACCCCCTCACCTCCCCTGCCCACATTCCTCGCGGTAACCTGCATAAACGATGTCAATCTCAAAAAACACCTGTGTGAGAACTTCAATAAGGTTTCTGAAGAAGAATTTCTAGGCCAATGGGTGCGCCCAGCATCTGTGGCACAGAAACTTTCAATAATGTTCGAGATTCTGCAAGTTTTTTTTGAATTTTTAGGCATACTTCAGGCCAGCAAATTCGGTTCCCGTATACGACACAAATTTTTGCACCGAGAAAAAAAATGATATTCTAGAACTACAAAAGATGTTTTCGACTAAGAAGCTTACTTCCTAACTCTTCCACAGTATTTTTCGCGAAAAAACCCGCTTTAGCGCCGTCCAGAACGATGTCAAAAACGTGCATGAGCACGGTAGTTTGAAAATTCGTAACTAAGGCCAGAAGAAGACTGAGAGGCTGCAATGAACAAGTGCTGTAGCATAATGCCCAGACTATTTACAGAAAAACTTTCAGCCCTTGAGAAGCAGTGAGCTCGAAAAAATTTAGATGCGACGCTCGCAGATTCAGATGCGATCCTAAAAACCAAAAACTGGGATTTTTTAAGCTTGAAAATTTGTAATTCATCGGAGAAGTAATGAAACGGCCTGAAATTTTTAGGATAGAAAGTAGGAGGATGGCCTCGCATTACAGCAAAACTACAGCCAACAAAATTCAATAGCTCCGGAAAAATTTAGATGCGACCCAGATACGACCCCTCTTTCGTCATTTTTTGTTACCATACATAAAATCATAAGAAAATCAGAAGGCCATAAAGTACTCTTCTTTCGAGTGTGTGAGTCTTCAGTGAGCCTTCGGAAGCAGGATATCTACACCACTCGGAACATCCAACATCTTTATCACACATCCATGCTTTAGTAGTATTTGAGCTTCTAAAAGTGTTTATTTTTTAAGTTTTAGTCATGCCAGCAAGGTTCGATCCCGTTTGCGACAATCTGCGGGAGAAATAGTGTTTCCCATAGAAAAAAAATGAACTAAGTCATAATCTTTCAAAAGTGCAGCGATCGAAGCGAATTTCCGTTTGCAAATGTTTTCAAATTAATGTTAACTCGTTTTGACTTGATACATTGGTACACGGCATTCCATGAATTCATTTTTAAGAATATGGAATAATTATTTGCCATTCGATTTCCCTCCATGCTTTCGGTTTTTTACCCAACCTACCTCCTTTTACGACCCCCCCCCTCACCGTTACCCCGCCTACAACCCCCAGTTGCGACAGTCGCATCACACGCTTGACCCTGGTGCCAACTGAACCAAGGGAAGCAGAGGTCAATTGAATGGCTCTTGAATCAATGCAGAAAAGACTAGATATTGCCTCTTGGAGTGTAAAAATATACAGTTTGTAACCTAGTGCCAGTAATTTTCAAAATGGGCAGCTTTCAAGTTGACTATTTCTGCCTATTTTGAATCGCAGGTCATCATTCTTGTATGCAAAACACTGCAAGACTGTAACTTGAGCAAAAAAATATACTTGTAATGCAGATGGAGTTGATTTCAAAATCATCAGATACCCTTCAATTCAACGGGTTTGGTTGCTGAAAGGCGGGGGTTCGGCGTCTTACCACGGCTAGGGAAAGCCAGAGAGCACGCTTGCGAGAGAGACACAGACAGCGTCGCGAGCGCGAGCGGTTGTCTCTCACCAATCCGGTTGAATTTAAGGGTAACTTATCTACGCAAGTCGGATGTGCTTACTGTTTGATTAGTAATAACTCTTTTGTAATGAAGTATTTCGAGAAGCTTTGGGTATCGTTTTGTAGAGCTAACTTCAGCTTAGATTTATACGCACCTTATAGAGCAAATCACCAATCTCCGCTCTTCATCACTGTAGGATTACGGTAGAAACTTTGAGCACATGGTATCACTTTAAATAAAGCTGCTTTTTCAAAAATTCTCAAAAAAATGTGAAAATTTATGTAGTGAGCTTTTCATTGACGCTGAATTCGATACTTAATTATGTACAAGATTGCAAAGCTTGCTAAACGTGTAACTGCACTTTTTAGGAACATTGAAAAAACTGTGCTTCTGCTTACCTCGCATAACTTTCTAATGAAGCGTTATGATAAGTTGCGAACTTCATATTTAAAATAAGAATTTCTAATTATTTCAGTGTGAGAGTTTTCAGTTTGTTTCCTTTGTTTTATGGAGCATAATATGACCCTTCATGGCTCAAAACGCTCTCCAAAGCTCCTACCGCAACCGTACAGTATTAGAGAGCAGTCAGTCATCTGCTATATACCGTAAATCTAAGTTGAAGCTTTTACAGAATGCTAACTAAAGCGCTTCTCGAAAAACTCCATTATAAAAGAGTTATTAACAATCAAACAGTAGGCACATCTTTTGGGAGACCCTGTATAGTCTCAGACTCTATTTCATCTCATTTCCATGAGAAATGGCCAAAAATGGTTTCGGGTCATAAAAATTGAAAGTGATACTTACTAGGGCATTCCTCCTCACACACTTCTTGTTCATCATATGTGACGTTATTGAGCAAGCAGGTATAGGTAGGTGTATTTTTGGTCAAATGGTCCGGAACGCAGAACAACTTCTCTCCACCTCAAAACAAATCGTAAAGATTATTTTTCTTACTTAAAAATAAAGCTCCCACAGGCTGAAAACGAAACTGTGAATGTCTAATAGTGATTTTTTTGGGGAAAGCTACTTAAAGGCGATTGTCGTTCAAAAACTGCGAATATTCAATATGTGAGAGCAGAGGTATGAAACTGCCTTGCCACATAAAAACTTCTGCTGAATAGCAGCTACTCGATTTGATAAAATTTGATATTTGCGTGCTAAAAAATTATTTCCTAGCCAAGGATTTCAATTTTATGCTTTTGAGTGGGCTTGTCAGCTTTTCAGCTTCTAATTCGAATGAACTTTTCCTTATAAGGCGGATAGGCGAGCTCACCTCTCATCGTCGATGAAGAAGTCGTTGTTTCTTGTGAAGGCGTTGTAGATGAGGCCACTGTACTTGGTGTGCCTGTCCTTATGAAAGGACCTGCAAGAAAAAAAAATGAGAACCAGTTAAATATCTCTGTGAACTTCACCTTGCGAAGCATCCTCATATAGAACGCATGTTGTTTCACAAGACCTCGAAATATCGAAGCAACCGTACGGGACCTCTTCGCACTTGTTGCTTGTTAAATTATAGTGTATCCTAGAAAGAATTAATTCTAATTTTGCGAAGATGACCAAAGCTATACAAAGAATTTTTCTAAAGCTTACGTGCCAGAACATCCTCTCATTATTCTTTCCTTTACCGATAAGAAACATTTTGGTGACCGGACTGAAATTCGACAAAATAAACTCATTATTCTCCTTGTAACAATAAACGAACATTTCGTTGTGGTTGATTCTGGCTTCAATGGTGTTGCTGCTTCGGTCGTTGATAAAGTTGAAATTCTTTCTAAAAAATTCAAATTAATTTCAATTTTGACGATTAATAATGATGAAGTCATCATTGGTGTGCGCAAGATGTGTCAATTTTCGTAAAAATCTTGCAGCACATTGGTTGAAGAGGTTTGATGTCTATTTTTCAGAGGTTGTCGCTTGTAATTCAAGCCGACTCGTTGTTTTTCATCTTTGAATGAGAAAAAGCTAAATCGAATGACAGAGCTTGTTCTGATGCTACTGATAAGGAGAGCTACCTGACCTAGCTCGGGCTTTTGATAAGGTACATATATATTCTGAATCAGCTTCAAACGCTGATTGTAAATATGGCTATTCCTATCTGCCACGCACCACTTCGAAGCCAGTTGTGATTTTTTTTCCTGCGCGAAATTGGCATACTCATCGACCAGGGCTCAGCACAGGTGTCTTGTAAGCAAGCTGATTATCCTTTTTGGGACAAAAAGCAAAGGAAGTATCGTTTTTGGATTTAGAAAAGACACATTGTCAAATTTCTTTTAGTCGACGTTTCGCTTTTGAGGGTTTTGTTGTGTTCATTAGGGTCAAAGGGGACTTCGTAAAAATTCGCAAAAGTAAAGAGGGACTTCGCTTTTTGCATTTTCCGAAAGCTACCTCGTGCCGAGCACCGCTCATCGACTCACGGGTATCACGGCATCATCATCTAAGCGCTGAGAAGATTAATAAAATCTTAGAATCTTTGATTAAGAGTTTTCAGCAAATGTTCTATTATATTTGTAATCACCATATTTGCCTGCGATATGTGACTATGTGTCGAGTCCCAGCTTATGGTTTAACTTTTGCCATGAAATCAATAAACACAAAAAGAGCGACCGAAGCCTAGTTCAAGTGGTTTTGGGAATGGATTTATCTCGAGATTTACATGAAAAATTACTGAAAATTGCACTGAAAAGTTATTGGAGACAAGGCTAATGCTAAAGAAAGAGAGCTTGGCTAAAAAGAGAAGAGAAAACAAAATGGTCATTGAATGTTGAGATTATTTTTGCACCTCTCCCACCTAGTGTGTTGATGTTTACTTGTTGCGCTATGTGTTTATGTTTGTGTGGTGGCATAATATCTATCTTATATATAAAGCTGAATGTCTGTTTGTATGTATGTATGTCTGTCTGTCTGTCTGTCTGTCTGTCTGTATGTCTGTGTGTACGTATGTTCCGAATAGAAAATTCCATTTCTGAACCGATCGGGACCAAACTTGGCACACATACACTACGGGCCCCGGCGGGTGTCATAGGCTACTTTTCGTCATCGATCGATATCGATTTTTTAGAATCGTGCATTACTTTTATCGATTTTATCGATTTTTTTGCAAAGTTTGAGCTAGGGGGCTGGAATTTGGCAGAGGGGTGTAATCGAGCATGCTGATCACCCCCACGGGGGTGATCAGCATGCTCGAATTTTGCAAAAAATCGATAAAATGGATAAAAGTAATGCACGGTTTCGAAAACTAATATTGTATTCGTAATCAGCATGCTCGATTACCCCCCTGTGCCAAATCCCAGCCCCCTAGCTCAAACTTTGCAAAAAAATCGATAAAATGTATAAAAGTAATGCACGGTTTCGAAAACTAATATTGTATTCGTAATCAGCATGCTCGATTACCCCCCTGTGCCAAATCCCAGCCCCCTAGCTCAAATTTTGCAAAAAATCGATAAAATCGACATCAATCGATAACAAAAAGTGGACTGTGACACCTGCCGGGGCCCGAAGTGTATGTGTGCCAAGTTGTTCGGATCGGTTGAGAAAAGGAATTTTCTATTCGGAACATACGGCGGAGCCGGGTATGCCAGCTAGTGCCATATAAGTTTTGATCCAACTGGCTTGGCGGGGCTTTGTGACCCAATTAAGGCCGCTCGCGGCTGCAACGCAGTCTGCGTCTCTTCAGCGCGCATGCTCTCTGATCACTATCTAGCCTTAGTTGGGTCACGAAGCCGGCATTCCAGCCGCCAAGCCGGTTGAATCAAAGGGTACTTCTGAGTAAACAAAATCATTAACCTTCTCTTGATGCAGTGCTTGTAGATGTGGTAATTGTGGGTGTAGGTGTTCCTTCTGGACTTGATCCTGTAACCGCTAATTATGCATTTTTCGATAAAAATTGAAGAGACATAGAAAACTTACGATCGCATAACTCTTCACATACAGTCAGATTTTCATTTTTGATGCTGTTATCGTGAATGCACATGTAGTTTTCCCATCTAATCAGTCGACAGTGACGACAGTATTTAACAAAAATCAAAGTTTTCTGAACTTACATGAAATTCCCATCTCCAGGAGTTGGAATGCAGAGATAGTCACCTCAAACAACCTTTTATGATCAAAGCAAAGAATCACTTCAACATTGCTTACATAAATCAGGATCTTCGGTTTCCCTGCTATCCCAAATGCCATCACTTGCAATGTATTGGCAATTGTAGTATCCAGTGTAAATTCTAATATGTGTATAAGAAATGAGAATACATAAATTATTCAAAATTATTATCGTCTTACCCTTCCAAAAGCATAGCATTGCAGTAGCACGGTACTTTCTTTCCATCTGAATTGAACACCATTAGTAACACAAGAGGTTTTGTCTTGGATAAGTAGCTTTAATATATAAAAAATCTCATTTTATACTGCGATCAGTTTTCAGGTGAGTAAATTACTGCGAGTTGATGTAAAAGTATATTAATCTGGCAAAACATTTTAGAATCAAATTATTTAAGGCTGCACCTCAAAAAATCTTAAATAACTATCATAAACAAAATGACTTCAAAATATTAGGACTAACGCGGAAACTATCATGCAGATCCCTTCTTATAGCTGTTCTGTTTTATGATTTTGATTATTCCTTTATTTCAGATTCCAATTTGGCGATTAGGCTGTCAAGCTTCCTTTTACAGCGGGAGCTACTGATGCAAGTTACGGAGACTGAACAGCTCCCTTACGTTATTCGGAATTCGCGACAGCTACGAATTGCTTGAGATGGATCTATTTTGTTTTATTAGCAAAAAGAGACAAATATTGTCGCGGCTCGCGCGATGCAAGCCTCTTCTCTATTCAGGTGCCGGGGGGACTGCATGCCGCTGAATCGGGGGGCGCTATCGTTTTCGCGCCCGGACCCCTCCTTAATGGGCGCGTTGCCAAGTCAAGGGGGCATATAAAGCCGCGCAACGCGCGCCATATGGTTCTTTGACTTTGGTGACCTCGTTTTTCCCTTGATTTTTCAGGTATTTTACCGATCGTGCTTGGCAGCTTTCCAGTAAGCTCTCGTGGATGAATTGTGGTCTTTGACGGTTGAGCGAGTTGTTGTTGGACTTTTTGGATCATACCGCGCTAAAGCGCAAGGAAAGTTTGGAGCTCTTGTTTCAAGGTTGTGTCGGCGGTAAAGAGGGCTTGTCCTCTCCTACGCGGAGGCGCGTAAGCGGTCGACCCTCGGGATTCCCTGACATTGCGCTTAGATTTGATTGGGCCATGATCGGGGCTTGGGACGAGGCGAGCTCGTCCCTTATTTTTTCTTTCTGTAGTTCAGGAATTTTCGTAGTATAGTTCCTTTTATAATGTAGTGTTTTGTTATTGAGATAAATTTAAGTAATCTAGTCGCCGTTTGTTGTTATGGTTTACTGTTACTTAACGGGTCGTTGTGTTGAACGCCGGAATGGCCAACCGGTGCTAGGGTGTGCAGGTAGAAGTTGCAGGGTTATGTAGGCAGTCGAGCGAGCAAGGGGGTCTTGAGCTTACCGAGCCGCAACAAACATCATGATTCAAATGTCAAAAAAATGAAGAGTGCCAAAATTTACTCGAAAAACTGTTGCCTCCCCTCCCCTTCCCAATCCAATAAAAATCTGGCATTTCTACTGAAAATATTGTAATTTCTGAGTACGCAAAACCATTAGGCCTGCTGCTTAACCCTGGGTTATTTCATAAATTCCCCTAGGAAGCGAGTTTACACGAACGTCTTGCATTTGCAGTATTACGACAAGCACTGGCAACAATTTTTGCTCCGGACCCATTAAAGTCCACTGGCCCTTTCTGAACAAGACTGGATAAATGTCATACCTGATGTAGTTGATGGCTCCATGGATGTGATAGTGTCCATGTCCGTCGAAGATGCCGTAGGCATAGGCGTTGAAGCATTAGTAGCCGGTTCACCAGTTTCTGTGCCTATCGAAGGTTCAATTGATGTAGGTGACGTATCACTTGACACTGTAATAGTCAAATGTATTGAGTTCTTTATATGATATATATTCGCTTAGAAAAATTAGTCCCAATCGAACCTTCTGTAATAATTGTTGAATACGCTGGTGTGGTTTCGGAAATTCCTGCATCTGTGGAAGATTCTGTAGGTGTAGGTGATGCGTCAGTCGAGAACCCTGCGAAAGCTTATCTCCCCTAAAATAATGAAATGCAAAGATATGAAACAAACCTTCTGTTGCGATTGATGAGTGCGCAGTGAAGATTTCGATGTCTTCTGTGCCTGTCGATGATTCTGGAGATGATGTGATAATTGAGGACGCTGTAAAAGAACTCGCGTTTTTATAATAAAAATTAGTGAGAAATATGTAGTCATAGCCGAACCTGTGTCCTCGTCTGTGATAGATGTAGGTGAAGTGACATCGGTGTGCGCCATTGTAGCATCTGTGGATACTGTAAATGTAGCTCATGAGATTATGTACCTGGTATGAAGATGTAAGCCGAGAATTTACTGCCGATGTATTCAACTCGACAATCATTTCTCTCCCCTATCAGATGGTAGCAGCAAAAAATAACAAACCTTGGCAAGCATCGAGGCACTCTTCGGACGAATTATAACGAACACCTTTGCAAATGTAAATTCTGAAGTAATCATACATATCTTGCAACTAAAAAGTCACAGAACACATAAAATTACTAAAGCAGCTTACGGGGAAATATCTTCATCGTCAACGGGATACACCTCGGCACATATGCTTGAGACTGAAACCGTTTCTTCGTCACTATCATACAAATATCGGGGAAATCCTCACAGATAACCAACTGTATTGATTTTTACCTCATCTGAGATACGTAACCGTCCCATGTTTGATAGAAAAAACCGTATAAGTTCTACATGCATGTCTTTGCAATTTTTTTGACTTTGAAATTAGATTTTCTAAAGTTTCCCTCAAGTGCGGGACTTGACCTCTTCACATACATACAAAAAGAAACTATGCCCAAATTTTTTTCTTCAAAAAGTTGGGTAATTAAACTGGCCGCCGAGCCGGAAAGACCCCATTTTTGCACTCTGACATGGTCCCTGCCGCCAGGGACGTCTTCAAGGAGAGCATCTACAACCCGAACCCAGCACCTTCTATATGGTGTATTGCCGCGCCCAATCGCTCGATTGAGTTTGGTCAAAGTGCATTGAGGTTCGTTGGCGGCCGACCATCCCTTTCGGCCGACCCGCCCCCTCCATTGGAAACCCCGCCCACTCGGTCAAAATGGCCAGCACACTCCTGTAGGACAAGATACATACATACATACATAGTACATATTTCGATTCTACATTTTACGCATTTGACTTCCAAGTTTAAGCATTTTCAAACTCAAATCAAAGATTACATCGATAAGGTGAAGCTGCTGCTTTTTTTGTTGCCTGTTTTGTCCACACGATCAAACACTTAGTACGAAGTGCCTTACTTTCGTGTCTAATCTGATGGTTTTTCGCCCAGAAAATTGACTATTTCAAGGAAGTTAAGTGCCTAATTTGGTTTCGCTATTTAACGAATAACTTTTATTGTTAAGGCTTTGATAAATCTAACTCTTTTAGAAATATCCAGGACTATGCAAAGATTGTGTGTTGGGATTTACGTTGAGTCAAACTTATGACACTGTTGCAACAAGTGCAGAGATCGTAAATGAGTAAACGCTGACAAACGGACCATTCGGTGTGATTGTTAAGCTATGGAATGAAAGACCGAGAGGGGAGGCGAGTGACTGGGTGGGGGTGGGGGTGAGGATGGAGGGGGGAATGTCTAAGTGCTTGTTTATGCCTGTAAATAATTAAATAATTTTTTTGAAATTGTTTAAATATTACAGATACCCTTGTGAAGATTCGATTTTTCGGGGGCAGTGTCCTAAAAAGATTCGGAGCATTTCAGACCTCTATTCAAAAATTTGCTGCCCTCCCCTCCCCCCCCCCCCTCAAATCCTGGGACCGCAAGTGGCGCTTATGTATTTAAAAAAAATCCATGCGCGCGGTGGATTGGTAGTCTGGGAAACTGCCATATCGCATGGTAAGCGCGTTTGACCGAAGCTCAAGTTATGACGGATGGCTCATACATGCTAGGTTAATGAGAGCTTATTTGCCATAGAGTAATTGACGTACCTTCCGTTGTAACTGAAGAGTCAACAGTCGTGGCTTCAGGAGTTTCTGAGCTGGCTGAAGACTCCGTGGAGTCAGATGGAGTGACATCTGCCGATACTGTAATTTCAGACACTCCTAAAATTTCACAGAGTACACATCAAATATTGAGATGGGAGCCATTACAAAACATGAATGTGGTGTTGTCATGCAAGTCAGAAACAAACCTTCTGTTGTTGATGAGTCTGTACCTTCGGGAATTTCTGTGTCAATCGGAGATTCTACAAAAAGTGGCGTGACATTTGCAGTTAATACTGTGATTCATTGCAATGATGACTGAGATTGAAATTGCTTTTAAGCTATGGTTATTTTTCCAAGCGTGATGCCATAAGGAAATTGTCAACAAACCTTCCGTAGAGTCCGATGAGCTGCTCACTGTGCCTTCGGAGGCATCCGTGCTCGACGAAGCTTCCGTAGAGATAGGCGTTGTGCCACTGGATTCTGCTGTAACATATGTAATTATTGTAGAACGAATTAAGATCGTCGAGCGCCATTTTTCGATTCCAAATTTCCAAGTCTTAGATTTTGCACAAAGTTGGTGAAGACGCGGATCTGACGTGCTGATCAGGATCGTCAGACTTTTTTTCGCGTTTATTCCTTTTTTTAGAGTTGGTGGGTGTAGGGTAAGGGGGGAGGGGGAGGGAGGTAGCTCAGCATGCTACTTATGAATATCCTGCTTGCTCGCTGCAATAATTCTGTTTTGTGGAGTCATGGTAAATCGAAGGACTATGAATAGATATCTTTTTTCGCTTTTCAGGCATATTTGGGTTCCCTATTATTCATGAAAGGCCTCTCGCAGTCGTTCCGTTTTGAAAACCATGTAAATTGTGTTTTAACTTTAGAGGCAATCTCGGGAGCCGGTGAAGGCACTTTTTGTCTCGCTTGAGTATATTGAAAAAGAAACTGGAATTTTAGAGCGAGGCAAAGGTAGTGCTCAAGGTAGTACATTATTTGCTGAATGTGACATTCTGTCAATTCCTAAGTTTTTAAAAACCGTAAGAACTTTTAACACGACCTTATGCAGTGATTTTGAAAGAGAGTCTACAAAATTGTTAAGCATCTGCTACGACCAAGAACTCCAAGAATTTTGATTCTGACAAATGTGGCGTTTGATCAAAAATGCGAAATTACTTCAAAGCCCAAGCAGCGATATCAGAATTAGTTATTAAGAAAGAATGGTTTTGACCGAACCTTCTGTAGCTATCGTTGACTCTGTTGCGACTTCGGGAGTTTGCGTGTCTTCCGAAGATTCTGAAGGTGTGGGTGATGCGCCAGTCGTGACTTCGGGAGCTTGCGTGTCTTCCGAAGATTCTGAAGGTGTAGGTGATGCGCCAGTCGTGGGCCCTATGAGAGTATCACTTATGCTCATACACAAACAATTTTGATGCTGTGTATATGTTACCACGAACCTGTTGCGATCGAGGAATCCGTTGTTGCAGCTCCGGTGATGCCTGTAACTGTCGATGAATCTGCGGATGAGTCGATTGGCTCTGTAAAACTATTCAGTTTTTTTTGTTCTCAAGTCAATTCTTATCAATTAGTTTTGAACCTTCCGAGGGGACTAAGTCCGTCGCTATCATAGGTGTAGTGACAGCGGTAGGCGCCATTGTAGCATTAGTGGATTCTGAAAATCCTCCTAGTAAGTTTAAAGACAACGTCCATCCAAATCTTCATCTCCCAAGTTTTTATTCTAGAGCCTTTTCGTCACCCTAATTACAGAAATGAAGTGCAAAATGCGCGAAACCCCAGAAACCCAATTTGTGGGACCCCCTATCCTGAAGGCACAGATGACTTTTAGCACCTGGGTGGGCGGAGCTTGATAGGGAGGCGTGGCTTGATAGACCTTCTCGGGTCTCTGTTTCATTTTTCCCATTCGGAGCCCACATTAGAGGACCGGACTAACGCAGATGTAAGACTCCTAGGGCCTTATTGTAGACTATGTAATCGGGGGAGCATAGATTCTGCCTGACGCTGACTTTGAGATTGCTGTAGTTTAGCTCTTAAGGCTTTTTGGTATCAAAGATCCGCAGCAGAGAACTCACTGCAGGTATATCAACTCAAAACTTTCTTCTCTTTTTTGGAAAGCAGTAAAAACTTACCTTGGCAAGCTTCAAGGCAATGTTGTCGCGAATCGTAAGCATCATCTCCGCACATATAAATTCTGAAGTACTCATTTTATATCTTGATTCTGAAAAGTCACAAACAACGTAAAGTTACTAAAGCTGCTTACTTGAAAATATAGTCTTCGTCAATAGGTTCATCTACTTCGGCACATATGCTCGAGACTGAAATTATTTTCTTAGATAGTAATGGGAAACCTCTAATAAAACTGAGTATATCTTTTTTCTTAGTCTCAACTGACTTACATGACAGCCTCATGTTCAATAGGAAGTGCTCTACAAGTTTTATTTACACATTTTGCGAATAGTTTTTCCCGAAGTTTTGGAACGAGATTTTCGCGATTCTCCTAGGTACTACCTTGTGCACATCTAGGTGCAGCAATTGAACTCTTGGGAAAACAATTCGATTTACCTTCTACGCACTGATTTCAATTCTAAAAGAGTTTACAAAATTAAGGCGAAATTACACCACGCGAAACAATCCCTGCCTCCAAAAGTGCTGATTCTGGAGTTTAATTCAATCAGACACGTACGCATTAGGAAATCAAAGTTGCAGATGTCGTGCACTTCAAAACTTAGCAAGAGATATTGTGACCGTATTCACTTAAAATACCGCATAATTCCCATGATTGATTTGGTAATGGCACGCCTAAAATTCTACAAGTGCAAAGCTTCGGATCTTTAATTCGAGTAATTCAAATTTGCTATTTAAACCATTCTGCAAATCTTTTATTGTTCATTAAGGGTTTTTTCAATGTGCCTTTCAAAATTGTTCAAAACATAAAGAGTATGTTGTGTAGCAATTTCTTCGGCTTACTTATTATTAAGGAGCTTTTTCACAAGGTAAAATTCGTAATCTGACAATGAGCACCAAGGATGATACCTTGTTTCAACAATCTCTCTATAATAAAGCGCTAGAGATGACTCATGCATGTAAGATACCCCCCCCCCCTTCGTGGTCGCGATTCGGATGTCAACAACTTTGTCGTTATGTGCCGGTGCAGATGCACCGGGCTGTGGCTCATGATGATAGTGGCGCCTGTCGTAGATGATGTTAACCGAGAAGCCTAACCAGCAAAGTGGCTTGGTAGACAAGCTAAATGCTGGAAAGGGAAGAAGGTTACTTAGTTCTGTTTTCGTTATGCATTAGATTACTATATCAGTTAGCGAGCAGCAATACCAGCTTCCGCTAGCAAGGTTTTGGAGTTTCGGAAAACATCAGTCAAAATATAGAAAGCATATTGGATGAGGTACATAAATCATTGTGAGCTGAAGGAAAGCAAAATGAAAGTCTCCAATGCTGGAAGTACGAAAAATGTGGTTTGAATACCACAAAATTGAGATTTGGGGTAGAGTAGAGGAAGTTGATACGAAAGAGGGGGGGGGACAGGGGGAGTGGGCAAACTTGGAGAGATTTGCACTTTGACTCCAGCAAAGGCAAAGGTATACGCACGTTCCCAAGCAAATCAGAGATCAAAGTCTTGAGCGTCCTGACAGGAGAAGCTGAAGAATGGTTTTTGGGATGTAGTCGAAAGGTAAATGAATACTAGCAAAATGTAGTGCAAACACTTTGATATTGCTAAATTTACATATTGATATTGAGAACATTCAGACTTTTTCAATAAAAGGAATGAGTGCCAGATTTTTCCCTGATCTCAAAGGGGCCGGGGACCTTTCCGCACGGTTTTTCGAAAAACATTCATTTGGGGGGAAAATAAGTAATAGAAAAGCGGAAAGTGCGTTGGAAGGTTGAGATTACTCTCGCCGGGTATACATGAATTTTTAGATTAGATTTAAAAATCTAATCTAAAAATTTAGAAACTCAAGAATATGAATAGTGTGGCACAATTTTGAAGAAATAAGGAATTAGGAAAATGTGAAGAACTTTTGAAGGGGACTTTTCGGAAAGAAAGCAAAATATGCTTATGCTGATAAGCCTACAGGGCGGGGGGGGGGAGATTGAAAACAGGAATGGGGATTGCAGCACAGTGTCACAGAAGAGCTTTCAATTTTTCCAAAAAGTTTTTCAGATGATTCAGCAGATTTGGCTATTTTAGACCCAGCAAGCTGATGTTCTAAAGCTGTGCATCTTCCATATGCCAGAATTCGGGGAGCCAAGCACAGCTCTGCTGTTGTATTTCATTCACCTCAACATGTAAAACCTGTAGAAATTTCACTTAATTCCCGTTTTTGCTATTAGCAGATGTTTGCAGACACCCACTTCTTGACTAACCTTAAGAAGTGCCAATGCAAATTTCTACGCCATCCTTCTTGACTAACCTTAAGAAGTGGCAATGCAAATTTCTACGCCATCCCACTTGTACGCACACACGGGCAGACCGAAGTGCCGCGAAGCGGCACTTCGGTCTGGTGCATAGATAACAAACAGACCTTCGGTTGTGATCGATGAACCCGTCGCTGTTTCATCGGATGTTCCTGTGACGGTCGAGAATTCCCCGGACGTAGGTGTTGTGCCATTAATGGGTACTTCTAAAATCGAACTAATAGTGTAGTGAGGATAATTGTATACAGGTAATCAACATACCTTCTGGTGTTTTAGGAGTTTCTGGGCCGGCTGGAGGTTCCGATGGCTCAGATGGTGTGGCATCAGTTGATAATGTAACTACTGTAATGATATGCATTGATATTGTCTTAATAATTCATTTAAACATAAAATTTTATGATATCGGTATACGAATCAAGGACAAACCTTCCGTTGCCGGTGATTCTTTCATAGTGTCTTCGGGAGTTTCCACGCTCATCGAGGTTTCCGCGGAAGGCGTTGTAGCATCCGTAGTCATTACTGTGAATATGTGTAAAAGGACTTTAATGAAACGTACAATACACTCATGGGCTATAGAAAACAGTGGACAAGTGGTGGACTTGATGACAGCTAAAGCAGACTTAGACTTATACTCAGCGGATTTTTCAAGCCTGTTTACTAGTTTACCACACAACATTGTTAGACAAAATCTCACCAAACTCATAACCATGTGCATGAAGGACTTTAAATACATTAGACTACACGGTGAAGTCTTTTATACCAATGCAGACACAGCCCATGGCAAGAACTTTCAAAGAGAAGACGTTCTCTTTGAAAGTTCTTGCTAATTATTATCAATTGCTTATTATTGTTTTATTTTTATTTTTATTTTTATTTTATTACTATTTATTCTTGCTAATTATCATTGCTAATTATTATTACTACACATTCTAAAGCTTCTTCAAAATACTTGCTCTGCTATGTTAAGAAGATATTTAGAAAAAATCACCGAATTCCAGTTTTGAAAGATACAAGTGGCACCTACAGTACAAATTCCGATAAAGCCAATGCGCTTGCTAATTATTTCGCTAGCGTTTTCAACCCTGTAGTTCCTGATCTTTTAACAGACAATGAAGTTGTCACAGCTCAAGCTAATCGACATCTGTGCGACGTATACTTCGATTATTCTGATGTCTACAGGGTTTTAAAGTCATTGAAGCCTTCTCTTACAGAACCTTTCGACGGCATACCCCAGATCATATATAAGGAATGTGCAGAATCACTTTGCAAGCCTTTGACACACATTTTTAATATTTCTATGCTTACTTGCGAAGTTCCACTCTTATGGAAAGAGTTTCTGATTACACCGATTCCTAAAGTATCTTCCCCAGAACTGGTGACAGAATTTCGCCCGATCAGCATGACTTCTTCTTCGGTCAAGGTTATGGAAAAGATTCTGAGAGATAAACTGACATCATGGCTTTTGAGATCGGGTGCCATCCCCAAGGAGCAACATGGCTTCTTAGAAGGGGCTAGTACTCTATTTTCAGGTGTATAAGCCGCACTTTACCAAATTTTCCCACGAGCTGCTCAGCCGCTTCATTGTGTTTCGAGAAGCGATTCTTATAACGCACGTTTAATTCAGGCAATACGCAGCATAGTGTAGGGCCCTTTGGTTGCGAGGTCCCTTGATGTATTCGGACTGGTCAATGTAAGCTAGGACCACCCCGCGGCTTATACACCTGAAAATAGGGTACCACAACCAACTTAGCAGATACTATTTTTGACTGGACAATGGCGGTCAACAACCAATCAGTTGATATCATTTTCATTGACTTTCGAAGGCTTTTGATAAAGTGTGCCATAAAAAGCTTTTGATAAAGCTCAAAAGACTTGGAGTTTCTGGAAAGTTACTTTCTTGGTTGGAATCTTATCTACACAACAGACACATGACTGTAAAAATTGGGCTTGATTACTCCAATAGACACTCTTGTGATAGTGGCGTTCCCCAAGGAGGCGCACTTTCGCCTTTACTTTTTTTGATATATACAATGGATCTTCCTTCAATCTTGAAGACGTCACTTCATATTAAAGTACAAATGTATGCTGATGATGTAAAACTTTATGGAATCTATGACTCCTCAAACTATGATGAGATTCATAATGCTTTGAAGACCTCCCTCGAAAAAATGCTCTGTTGGTCACATGAATGGGATCTTCCCATAAATCTTGACAAATGTGCGGTCATGCATATCGGGGGAAATGAAGGAGCTAGTTATGAAATTAACGGAATCACATTAGCAGAATGCAAGCTGATGAAAGATCTGGGAGTAATGATTGAACCATCTCTCAAATTTTCTCAACATATAGATGTCATCACCAAAAAAGCATATAATGTACTATATGCTATTTTCAGATGTGTACATTCTCAAAATTCTGCCATATTCAAAAAACTGTACAAAACTTTTATCTTGCCTCATTCAGAATACTGTTCACAGATTTGGAATCCCTATTTGAAAAGAGATGTCAGAAAGATAGAGAAAGTTCAACAAACATTCACACGTTTGTTATACTTCAAATGTTGGAAAGGCATGACTAGAGCTACCGTCCCATCTTACCCTAACCTCTTGCAGAACTAAATATGAAAAGCTTAGAACAACGCAGAAAAATTTTTGATCTTGTTTTCTGTTCTCGAGTACTACGGAAAGAACTGAGGATTCCTGCAAGCAAGTACTGGGTTTTTATGCCTACCAGTCCACGCTCCCCTTCTTTCAGTTTGCATTATAACAAGATCAAAAGAAGACAATTTTTGCTGACGTACAACAACTTATTTTGCCGAGGAGCGAGATGGTTACAGCATTTACCTTCGAGCATTCTCAGTTCGACCTGCGGCTTTAGTTTCAAGTCAAAATTAAGGAAAGTTGATTTGCAGCATTTTCTGTTTAGTCAGTAATACTTTCTTAGAGTAACTTTCTTTCCTTCAGCTGTACTGGTAGACAAGCCTACTGTGAATGGTATTACTCAAGAAGTTGTTATTGGCAAAGACAGTCGTAATCACAATGCAGTGAAGGAAATAGGAGGGCATGACCAAATACAACCATCAAATTCTGTTCTTTTCTTTTTTTTCCTATATTAATTTCTTTCATATGTCTCAGTAACCCAATATTCCCGTCACGTTAGTTTAGGTCTGATGTTTGCTTCTCTTTTCAATCAATATAGCTTGTTGACTTGCTTCTAATCGAATTACAAAAACTGAAATTATTTGATATTTCTTCGGAGTCATTGGACTCTCCCCGGAATCATTTGGGCAAGATTGATCAATATTACTTCACCAACCAAACCCTACTTTGCTTATTTTATTATGCAAGAGCTTCTGCTGGCAAATGAGTTGGCATGATTGCATTCTTCACAGATAACAATCAACAAGTTTGATTCTTCCCGCTCATTTATGAATTACCCATTCACTACAACCTATTACAATTCACTTAGAATCATTGCTCACCCTGGCTTACTGGTCTGGTGAAGTCAAAAATTACAGCCACCATCAAACCTTGGCTGTTTGTTAATCAAAATCATTTTGCTGGCAAAAGGGGGCATGGGTCCATCTCCATGGATCACATTATTCTATTCTGATAATTATAATCATGGAGCAGTCAAATACAAGCCTTCATCACACTTTTATCCAAATTGGACCCAAACTACGTGATGCCATAGTATTGCGGTTAGAGTATGTCGAACTTTCTTAATGTTTTGACGTTCTTCTCCCTACCATTTCTATTCGAACGTCTTTTTTTCTATTCTACTGGATTTTTTGTTTTTATAGTCTACACTTAATGCATTATGATTGAAATGGCGCACTTATGTGCAGTAAATATCAAATATCAAATATCAAATATTCTCTACATGATAGATTCACTGTTAAATTCAAGTCATCTGTGCTATGGGGGAACGGTCTATAAACAAGGAAGAGGTAGTCCCCAAGGAGCCTCGTGTAGCCCACAAATTGCAGATTTAACACTGACCTATATGGAATACGAATTTGTAAGGCGACTGGTGAACACACCTGATAACCATAGAAGATACATGTCCAACCACACATATCGATATATAGACGATACTACATGTATCAAAGATGCATCGGAATTTGGGAGACACTTATCCAATATCTACCCCAGTGTATTGGAGATAGAAAAAACAAACAGTAATAACTAAGTAACAAACCTTTTAGATTTAACTATAGATACTAGTAACCAAAATAATGTTACGTTTAGTTTGCACAATAAAACCGATAGCTATGATTTTAGAGTTATCAGGTATCGTCACTGGCAATCTAACATACCTAGATACATACTAATAAATACTTTCGCATCAGAAGTACTCAGAATTTATAGAACCTGTTCCTGTTATCCAGAGTTTCAGGATAGAGTAATAGATCTAGGTAAGATATCGAAAAATAATGGATGGGAAGGTAGTTACTTCATAAATATCGTGTATCACGCTTTACATGACCAGTCATTCATTTTACATAAGTACGGTTTTCCTACGGCTATTCATCTCCCTTTGATACATGACCTACAAGAATTGTGGAATAAAGACGACGGGCCGGAATAGCAAGGTCACATTTGAATTCATTTGATGCACACCATCGTGTCTATAACTCTGTTTGTGATTATGTTTACCACTCTCTCCGCTGCATCTGGTCATATTTTCTAAAATTGTTTAACTCTCATAGTTGTTTCTAACTCTTTACCAGTCCTTAATAATCAAATTTATGAATATGTTATTTTTGAAGCTTTCTTGGGATCTACTGATGATGGGGCGCCAAGAAAGCTACACTAGCGGTCTAGTTCTTAGCCCGGAAACCGGTTGTGTAAAAAAAGTAGTTACTTTTTGGATATCTTGGAATTCTTAGAATATTTTTTCTTATTGTGGACTCATCTCTTTGTTTGCTTATGTAGCGAGAATAATTGTCATACAAGCAATCAACATACCTTCTGGTGTTCCAGGAGTTTCTGGGCCGGCTGGAGGTTTCGTTGGCTCAGATGGTGTGGCATCAGTTGATAATGTAACTACTGTAATGGTATGCATTGATATTGTCTCAATAATCCATTTAACCATAAAATTTTACGATATCGGTTCACAAATCAAGAACAAACCTTCCGTTGCCGGTGATTCTTTCATAGTGTCTTCGGGAATTTCCGGCCCAACGGAAGATTCCGTTGAATGTGTTGTAGCATCCGTAGTCATTACTGTAAATTTATGTGTACAAGGATTCTAGGGACATTAAACTCTTGGGCTTCGAGTTATTTTCAGTAATTCATGCCACAGAAGGTCTATCACTAGGAAGTTCAACAAACCTTCCGTCGAGACTGGCGAGCTCGTCACTTCGTCAGAGGTTGATTCTCCTGTAACATTTGTAATTGCTGTAACATTAATCAATGATCAATATCATTGTTGATTTGATCTATTACTATTCACATAAGTGTGCCCTTTCCTTTGTTCAACGGGATTGGCGGCTGGAAGGCTGTGCTTTGAGGCCTAATCAAGGCTAGAGAATGATCAGAGAGCACGCTCGCGAGAGGGACGCAGACTGCGTCGCGGGTGTGAGCGGTGCCTTCCAGCCGCCAATTCCGCTGAGTCAAAGAAGATGCAGTTGATTATTATAGATTAACAAAAAACCTGTTGAAGCTGATGAGTCCACAGTTGTGCTTCCAGTGCTTGTCGAATCATCAATTTCAGATCCTGGACCTCTTCTACCAGCTTTTGAGACATTTGCAAACACTAAAATCAAACATCCAATATCCTGCATTAGCATCATCACATCTAGAAAAACCTTCTGTGGTTGGTGTGTCTGCAGTGGTGTCTTCAGGGGTTGCGCTAGTCGAAGGTGCTGGGGATGTAATTAGTATACCATCGCCACGTTTTTCTGTGGCAGAGGATTCTGTAACAATGATGCTAATTTTGACGCCAATTTGATTTTCAGCCCCCTGGTTTAATTGGGGTAGAAGCTTTTTGAAAAGTCATTCCAAAACAAACCTCCTTCTTTAGATTTCGATGGCGAGCCGGAAGTTGTATCCTCAGATTGTTGACTGCTTGTTGAAGGTACTGTAAAATTGTATGTTATGGCTTGTGTATTCTCTACTGTTGGATGTGAAACTGATCGATCGATTAATGATGAATTCATTGTGCGATCTGGTTTATATTGATTTAATCGATTGAATTAGACTGATTGGTCCATAAATATTGCACTTTTGAAAAATCGTAAGTTTCTCAAGGTAATAAATCTACTCATTCATTATTAAATGAAAAGAATAATTTGTAGGTTTTACAGGACTTGAGGATAAGATAAATGCTAAGTAGAACATATCACGGCAACACAAAATGATTAAAAAACAATGATTATTATTCCCCCAAAGTTTGCACAATAAAAACGCTGAAGTTGCCATTAAAACCAGAATTTATCTTTGCTCAGATTTAACAACCTATTTTCTTGAATAAGAGAAATTTGTGCTGTTGATGTTCTTACGAAAATAATAATATTATGAATTTCGAGTATATTTACTAGACATTCAAAACCACTAATATGCATACAATGCAGCCCCTACCTAGGGTAACAATGGCCGGACTGCGGCGTATTCAAAGGCAGCGTCCGGGCAAAAACGAAAATGTAAAGTAAGGGGGCGCCCGGTCTGGTGAGGCTCTTGTCCCCCGGCAATAAACCGATTTGCTTCTGAAGCGAGAAAACCGCTTCAGAAGTGGCGACCAGAACGCCCCGGCGACCGGGGACGAGTTGATTCGATAAGCCAGAGTGCGCATACCGCACACACTCAAGACGTAGGGTCCCACAAAGACTCTTCGTCTTAATCTTGGTGGCAGGCAACAAAATTCAAAGTAAGAGCATCTGGAAAAGCCCGTTTTTGAAGTTTTCGTGCTCTCCGAGCTGCTTTTTTAGAATCAGCGGGAAGGAGAAACCCAAGTAAGCGAAAAAAAATTCCATCCGAAATCTTGTCCGGATGCTGTCTTCAACGAAACCGTCGGGACCCCATAACTAGGTTCAAAATGATTTTCATGAAATCGGACGGTGTTTCTTGATAAGCCGGTAATATAGGGATTCGAAAAACAATCTTCTAAAACCACTTTCCTTAAAAGATTTTCCTCAAGTCGCCGCGACGGAAAGGTCGTGACAAAGCCGTCGCACCCATAACTTCTATATAGATAGAATTTTCTCATTCTTTTTCTCATTTTCGATGTTTGAACAGTCCCTGTTCGCTATCGCTCTAGAAATACAACTAATTTTTGTCGAAACATGCGACTTTCGTCGCAATTTTTTCGTCGTCGCGGAGATTCACTGAAATTTCTAATAAGACCAAATTTGGAAAATTCGATGGTTTTTCGAATCCTTGTATCACTGGCTCTCCAAAAATCGCCGTCGTTCTCATGAAAATCATTTTGAACCTAGTCATGGGGATCCGACAGTTCTGTTAAAATTAATACGCCGCAGGCCTTCTTCTTTAGTCTAGGTAGGGGCTGCATTGTAAGTTGAAAATTTCCTTTTTGCCACTAAAAATATTTAGATATAGAATGAAATTTTTGAAGCATTTTTAGAAGGAGTTCATGTTTTTTTGCTGCAAGACTTATAGACCAGTTTGATTTATTGCTTCCAATTGATAAGCAGCGTTTGTTTACGTCTGATGCTCTTCTCATATCATTGGCAAACGAATAAATGACAAACCCTCGGTCACGGTTGATGATTCCATCGTTTCGTTTTCGTAATCGTCTGTGACGTATCCGTAATCTTCTGAGGTCGTCGACGATACTGATATAGGCGTTGTAGCAGTAGCAGGCGAGGTTGTAGAATCTGCAAATACAATACCAGCATTATAATAAAAATAATGGATATTATTAGGTTGTCCAGAAAACGATGTCGTTTTTTTTTCGGGTAAAATTGATTTTACGAAAATTAGAGCATATCCGAGGCCAAAATTTTGTGGTCAAAGTTACGAAGCCTTGTAGTATACAAAGACATATGTGGGAAGGGTCCAGTACTCTGGGGGCGGAGTCTGCCACTTTCCATTTTCAATTTTTTCTTGGTTTCTAAGCATGGAAAAAATAAGAGAGGTTCGCAGGATTTTCTAGGGCGAAAATCCAATTTTTGGCATCACGAGTTGCTCATATGTTTAGGCTCTAATCTTTGAATGAACAACAAGTTCTGCCAATGTTCGGATGTCATCTTGTGAAGCTTCCTTTGTTCTATCGAATGATACTCCTCCATTTAATAAGACTGAAATGGTCTACAACAGCCACACCCCCGAAAAATTTTTTTATAAGGCTGAACTAAACTTCTAAAAGATTCAAGAAGTTATTCAATTGTTTACAAGTATAAACAAGTCACTTGCACATTTCTGTAATTCGCAGAAGTAACTTTCAAAAATTTCTCGTCCCCTTCTTGGGAGAGAGTGCGCCCCCCTCCCCTGTTCCTCCCTCGGTACTCCTCTGCAGCAAAAATAATGCAGATAATTTCTTTTCTCTCAAACAAAATTTCTTTTGTTGAGAAATCTAATCCGGTGAATGCCTCGCCAGCTAGGGTGCTGTGCTGACACTAATGGTGCTAAGACGCTTTCATACCCCAAAAATATCATATAATTTTGTTCAAACTAACCCTTGCATTTTAACTCGCAATCCTCCCGTTTTCTGTACATTTTCCGGGGATAACGTCCTACGCACACGTAGACCCTAAACGACATTTTGCCTACTTATCAGATGAGAAACCATTAGATTATTTCTTTGTGGCACATACTTAATATACACCGGATGCGGTTTCTTCTTGCAGTACAGCACAGCTGAAAATTAAGAAGTTAGATTAACCAGACAAAAACATCAACTCGCTGAGGTTTACGAGCATTTAATCACATCGTCTCGATCCATGCAAAAATGAACAACTCCATATCGTCTGAAGGTTCTCAGTTTTGTAATTAGCAGTGTTTTCAAAAAAGTGCGACCAACTAAATGTAAGTCAGTCCTCTTGTGAATGCCTGGTCGTTAGATTGAGTTGATCGAAAATTGATGCAACTTCCATATTCTGCTGTGGCAGAAAAGATATGAAGATGTGTATTACAAATCATTCGTCAAAGGAAAGCATACTGAGATGGCGTTTTTTTTTCGGGTTTTTTTATGTAAAAGTTGGTTTTTCTCGATTATAAGAGCACATACAGTGTTAAGGTTTTGAAATTGTAATTAGTAAGGCTTGTAGTGTACAACGACATATGTGTGAGGGGCTGAGGGGCAGAGTTTGCCATTTTTGGACAATTTTTGTTTCTCGCTTTCTATGCTCGGAAAAAATTCGCCAAAAGCTTATTTGAGTACAACTATGTGCCTACCGTATAGTGACCAAGTTGGGGGTCCGTAGGGTTTTCCTCGCGAAAATCCAATTTTCAGATGAATTTTTTTTGCGATTTTGGCTTTAAATCATACATGGAATGCGACTTAGGCGGACCCATGGGGTCACTTTGCAGAACTTGCTTTGCTCTATTGAATGGTACCCCAAGTCTGCCAAAAAAAACAAAACATTTCGATTTATCCAAAAATACGGTTTACTTTTGGGACAACCTAATATATTTGCAATCACTAGCTCTCCAATTGCCGCCCGATCTCATGGAAAACATTTTGAACCTAGTTATGGGATCCCAACGCTTTTGTCAAATTAATACTCCGCAGTCCGCCTTTTTTACCAGAGGTAAGGCTGCATCGTAAACAGAACATTTCCTGTTTGCTACAAAAAATTCGCTAAATATAATATGAAATTTTTTCTTGAGCATTTTCAAAGCGGATTCTTCGTTTTTTGCTGCAAGACTTATAGACCAGTCTAATCTATTGCTACCATTTAATGAACACTTTTTGTGTATCTGTCTCCGTAAAAACACAGCAAACAAATGGCTGACAAACCTTGGGTCACGGTTGATGTCTTCATCGTTTCGCCTTCGTGATCTTCTGTGTATTCGTAATCTCCTGAGGTCGTCGACGATTCTGATATAGGCGTTGTAGCACTGGCAGGCGATGTTGTAACATCTGTAGACATACCACAAGTAAATTCATATTTTTTTATTAGTGCTCTTAACTCAAAATGCAAGAAAATGCCATGCAAAACAATTTTTGTACAAGCAAATATCAAACCTTGCGCAGGTGATGTGTCCATCGTAGCAGCAGAAGTTTCTGTGTCCAGGGGCACGCTGGGCGTGGAACCTTGAGGTGAAATTGAGAAAATATAACAGTCATCTGTTGAGTTATCGAAATCTTCGATACCGGTAGATGATTCCAAAGGTGTAGACGATGTGGCATCAGGCAGTGAGACATCTAAAGATACTGTTTATTTCTTCAGTGACGACAGGGGTCGGGGTTGGGGGGGAGGGAGGGGTAGGGAAGAAAAGATGGGTCGCCATCTCGAAAGTTGCAGTCTATATGAGCTTAGAATCATGCTGGCTTGTTATCACTGTAAATCATTAATATAATTTTTGAATATTTCAAAAATCAAACAATTTTTGTAAAAAGAATTTCTCTGAGAGAATAACTGCCGCCGCCACGCTTCCTAAATTTTCAACAAATTCAAGAGGGCATGTGGAATGCATTTTGTAATTTTCGTGAAGGGCGCAGCCTCTTTCCCTCATCTCCTTCCCGCACTCCCCCCCCCCACTGCTTCGTAAGTGTAGATGTCAATGGAGACACTCCATTTTACGAGTACTTAACAAACCATCTGTTATAGGTGACGAGTCTGTGCTTTCGGAAGCATCTGTGCCCGTCGAAGATTCCGCAGGTACGGGTGTTGTAACTGTTGGAGGCCGCGTTATTGTAACGATTCTTTCTGTAAAATTACGTAGTAGTTCATCCCACTTGTTGGTCCTCTCTATTCGCCAGTTCCAATACAGTAGTAGTAAAAAAATGATACTGCAAATCACGCACGTTGCCCTTCTGACTCGAGTGGGCCCTCCGGCGTCGGTCCTTCAGGAGTTTTTGTCTCCGTCGAAGATTCCGCAGGTGCTGGTGTCGTAACCTTGGTAGGCGGCGTTATTGTAACAATTCTTTCTGCAAGATTATCAATTAGTTGATATCGCCGTAGTTTCTGAAGCTGTTTGTTTACTTGTTATAATCAATAAAAACTCAGAAGAATATGCAAGTTACGAACGTTGGCCTTCCGACTCAAGTGGCTCCTCCGGCGTTGGTCCCCTAAGGATGGTTGTCCCCGAGGAAGAATCCGTCGATGCAGGAGTTACGTCAGTAGGCGGTACTGTAGCATTTATAGAGGTATAAAAACTCAAGATTATTAATTAGTCTCAGAATTTCTCAATCACTTTGTCTATGCTAAAAGTTCTTAGTATTTATGTTTTCCTAGACAAACCTACCGTCTGAGGATGTGGAATCCACCGTTGCACCAGAAGTCTCCGAATCCGTGGAAGCAGTGCTAGGCCCTGCGGTGACACTTGAAGGTGCTGAAATTGTCATTTTTTAAGCATTATTGTTCCTAGCATTATTGCTCATGACTCATTTATTAGAAAAGTGGAACCTTGAAGAAATTATTGTATCTGTTGTATGTCTACAAACCTTGTGATGAAGGTGTCGAATCCATCGGCGTGCCTTCAGAAGGTTCTGGACTTGTGTTAAAGTCATCATATATGACTGTTGTGATATCAGTAGGCGTTGTATCGGGTGGAGTCGCTAAAGATTGTCAAGTGGATAATCTTGTTGCTAGTTTTGTAAGATTTATAAGATAAATGTGATTTTGTGAGGTAAATAAAATTTCTGAACAATGAGCTAGAGCTTATAATCTACAGTAACTGTCTTCTACTCGTAATTTTAGCCTTTCTCGAAACGCAGGCAATTTCAAAAATTCCAAGAGACGAACAGACCTCCACAATCTTCCAGACAGTCCTCCAGTGATCCATAAGGAAATTCGCCGTTATCAACGTCGTTGCAAATGTAAACTCTAAATCAATCATTAGCAATAGTAGCGTAGCCCATAAAGCAATTTTAATCTATGATTCTGCTTACGTGAAATATGAACCAGCATATGGTCTGCTTTCTTCGGTACATCGGCCCCAGCCTGAATTTTTGTCAGAAATTATGCCCACATCAGCTTCTATTATACATCATTAGATTCTATTTGATCGCCTAAATTTCGGTTTGTTTTGTACATGTACCAGGTGGATCCAGAAGTTCGTTTGCAAGTTTTAAATCATAACTTCCTTTCTTCCCAGTGAATTTCCTCAAAATTATCTTTATTAAAAGGAGTAAACCATGTTCCATACAGCAGTACTTCTGATCCGGGAGATAGACGCAATTGAAGAAATCAGTCGAGATTGATTCACATTTCAAAAGTGCTCGGAATCAAATCCTGTACTTAAATTGTGAAGTTCTTTACTTTGTTCCAATTTGAAAGGAAATTTAGCTTGCTCCGTAATCAGCTACTCTGGACATAATCAAGGCAAAAACATGCGAGCACCTAGAAGCCACCGCACGAAAATTCAGAGCAGCTCAGATAACCTTGTATCGGGCATTCCACCAAAACTTTTCTTTTTGGATTTGTAATTACATTTTCAGAGAACAAATGAGCTGGTGTTCCTGACAGTAAGTATCTCAATCAAATTGTATATTTCTCAGCTTACACACTAGGAAGTGAATTTTGCCGTTTGCAGTATAGCAAGAGCAGTATTCGCTAAAAAAACCTAAATACGCAGCTTAATCGGCTTTCTGAACATACAACAGTTATCTTCGATACGATTGTTACCAGTGTCAACATTGTGCCATGGCAGTAATTGTGCTGCTCAAGTAGAATTTCTCAATGCATAAGTGATATTATTCAAATGTTTGATAAGTGGAGTAAGGCACAAAATCGCAATTCATCTCTATTTAATAACTTCCGCCAAAGCTTGCAAATCTCTCAAGAATTGAGGGCAAGCCATTTCGATCAATCTGGATTCAAAAATCATAGTTGTAGTTTGGTTAACTAATCATGAGATAGCTATTTCTAACCTTGACATAAAAGCTCGCGTTGGGCATAAGCACCTGACTCGTTTATCAAAGTTTTACAAAAATGAAATATGTGAGCAAACCGCCAGGAACGCACTTTGGTCTGTTGTTTGGACGTTAAACCGAACCGAGGACAAAACTGTAAACAATATCGTGAAAATTCAGCGTAATTTAGTTTCTCTTCGCTGCTTCATCAACTTGCTCCACTTACTTTGATAGCATCAGGCAACTTTCTTTTTTATTACATGAAAATCCATCTAATGGACAACTTCATGAAGATAATAGGGAAACTGTAAGAACGAACTGATCCTTAATACCCTAATCTCAAACGAGGCCTTATTGGAGGTACTTCGAAAGCAATCATAGAACTTTTCTAAATTTCGAACGCGCAAAAAAACTCATATCAATTTGGTGCATCTACATGTTTGACAACCATACTATGTGTGAGAACTTTGAAAAACAAATGAGCAAACCACGAACACGACCTTGTGGAGAGTGCAACTTGACATCTTTCCAATTTTGCGAGAAAATTTGCATGTTTTAATATTAAGCTGTATCGTAAGCTGCATGCTTCTCAGGGTACATAAATGTAAGATCCTCAAGGACATTTGCGTTGAGAGGCAAAAGAAGTGATTTAGGGAAATCCAAAGTCTGTTAATTAGGGTAATTTTTTGGTACCTTTTGAGAGAAGCAATTTGAAAACAATTCATCCGTCTCCAATTAAGGGTTACTGAGATAAGCTCAAGTCTTCGTACACAAAACCATTTTAGGCGCATTTTTTGAACATAAAGTTGACAGCATAAGCTTATTATACTTGCGGCAGCAGACAATGTAAAGTTACGGTTTTAGGTTATTCGCTAAGGCTTGACTTGCACTACCTGCCCAGTTAGTTGTTTGAGCTTTACTTTTTGACTATGGCTAATCGTTAGTGAAAAATTATATAGCTAAATTAAAAAATCTTCGATTTCTGATGTAAATTACTGCGCAATTGCATCCAAACTTTAGCTATCTTCATCATTTTTTATTTAAATAAAACACTGATGTTTAAAAAGAGAACGACAATAATTTGCGATGCGAATCACTACATGATATTTAAGTAGGGAGGTTTGTGACTTTTGAGTGAAAAAGGGAGAAAATTCTTAGCTTACCTTCCATCCATCTGGTTGTAATAGCAGCAACAGTGGCACTGGAAGTAATCGTACCAGCAGTCGTCGTTTTTGGCACAGCTTCTGTTGTTGTCACATTTTCTAAAGCTCGCTATTGAAAAGATTATAAGGTAGTCACGAATTTAAGTCTGTAACACTTTTTTAATGCAACTTTGACTTATTGAATTATCTCTTTTCCCGAGTTCCTCACTTCTTAGGAGTGAGGGCACCTAGAAGGGTAGAAATACATGATAATACTTTCTTTCTCTAATGCGTAAGCTATATGACTACATGTTTGGGTGGAGTCCAGGACCATTAAGCACGGAGTTCGTCATTTTATTCCCAACACTTTTATTTGACAGGCCCATTAAGGAGAACCAAAGAACGACTAAGACCGGCTTTCGAAAGGATTGTGAGCCTGTGGGTAGTCCGCTTCAGTCACTTCTGAGAAGAACTTGGAACGAATCTCGAAGGCCGTCAATAAATTGTTTGAAAAGAGAAGATTTTGAGGCAGGATCGAATGCAATCCATTCCGAGCAACTGATAGCAAACGCTAGTTGCCAGCAAGATACTAGAAGCAGCCGAAGCCAGATGAATTGCCCTTGAGAAAGAGTGGAAAGTTAAGTGGAGAAGGCAGAAAACAAAACAGTTTTGCACTTTACTTGCTCTGTTTGGCTGCTAGCGGGTCTCCTTAAAAAGTGAAACGAAAATGTTGAGAAACTGAAGCCGAATAAAACCGCGCAATTGAAGCACGTTGCAGGCAAACAGAAGCAACTTGTTTACGATTAAGATTTCTAGAGCAAGAAAAGCTGCGTGAATTGATTTCCATGTCCCATGTTCTTTGAACCTTTGAAACCCGATGACAGAACCATTGAAACGTAAGGCCGATCGAATAAAGCTACCACCATAACAAGCCTTGTATGGCACAATGGAATTGAAAGGCTGCGTCAATTGTCTGACCTGTTTCTTTACAGGATGAAAAAAGCAAAAACACTTCCGGACCGGCCTGGTGTAGATATCTCATCACTAAATCTAATGTTCCTCCACCATGAATTGCGGAAGATTTTAGAGTCAAGCCATTTACTCTTTCTGAGCTACTCAAAATTTGAAGTTCTCAAATCTAAAGAAATTTCGCAAATTACGGAGGAAGAAATCTCAAGCGGACGAAGGTTTGTTGTAGCACTTGAATCAATGTAATGCTTTCGTACTAGTTCGACATGTATTAAGTGATAATTTTCGATTCTATTTGTGAATTTATTAAGCTTTCCTAAATTTTATTTTGGTCGCGGTAATCGCAAGAAGAAAAAGCTTATTGAAGATACAAAATCATAAGTTTTGCTACAAGACATGCCGAGAAGTCTCTTAGATTAAAGGTAATTTCCGGACTTGCAGGACAATTTGGATGCAAGGTAGCAAGTGCAGTTTGGACATTTTCGCTGCAGTGAACAACGAAATTACATCGTTTGCTTGTTTATGAGTTGTACTCTTCAGCAGCACATATAGTGCATCTCGTATGTAGTCATTTCAGATCCGTTAGGCCCCGGACAGACTTCACGAAATTTGATCGTCGCGACTGAATCGCGACGACAACTGTTATAACATCATTCCATGTCGATCAACTTGCATTTCTGTTGTGATACTTTTCTCAGCCCGAAATTTTTGAATGTGAAATGAAAATGAATGGAAATGTCGGCGATTGAGTCGCGACGATCAAATCGCGTGAAGTCTGTCCGGGGCATAGAATGTTTTGGAACAACAGATATTCGAGTATCATGCTATTAGGGAAGGGTGAACCTATTACGTAATCGTGAAAGAACCTCCGCTTCCCCTTCTAAATCAACAACGTTGTTCCTTGTTTTTAAAGACGAAACTAACCAAGATCATCCGATGTAGTCATGGTGGCAGTAGTAGAAGAACCCGATGTTGTTACTGAATCTATTGAAGTAGTAAGAGCAGAGGATGAGGCTGTTGGATCCGCTGAAGTAGACGGCGATGGATGTAGTGTTTCCTGCTGACCTAAATTTAGAAAAAATTCCTCAGTGTCAATGTGACCGAAAGAATAGCTGAAATTGTCGAATTGCCCAGCCTTGAGTACGAATTTCTCGGGGTTATAAGTAAGGAAAAGTTATTCTGATGCTTAATATGTTTCTGTTAGAAAATAAAGACGTATTTAGTAATCTTCTCCTAATCAGTCGTGCTGCATTTGATATTCCTCAGGAAACAAAGTCGACCCATACCATCCGTCGTTAATGGAGGAGAAAAATGCTTTTGTATTTGTAAGAGTCCACTCAATATTCCATCGGTAAGAGGCGATGCACTGAATGGCGTTCGCTTATACCGGTGCCGCCTAAGACTATTTATGCGCAAAAGGACTTTTCATGATACATTTATGTGTAATTTGTAAGTCAGCGTATATTTTTGGGTGCTCACATCTTGGGTAAAGACAAATAAATGAAAGGGCAGTGATGCCAAATTTGCAGCATCACTCAAAATGCAAGCAATGCTAGTCGCATTTCACTGAGCTGTTATACTTGCAAGGTTATTTTATGGTGTTGTTAGAAACACGAGCAGCGGTGGTCAACTAACCGTCTGTTGATTCAGATGAAGCTGAAGTTGTTGATCCAGTAGATTCTTCTGTGGGTGGAGGTGTCACTGTCGAAGAAGTCGCCAACGATTCCGCTTCTTCCGTTGAGGATGAAGGTGACGGCGATGCTGATGCCTCCGTCGGAGGAGTTGCTAAAGGTGGTATTCTTTTGAGTAGTTAAACTAAAACTGTTTTTGAAAGAAGGGCAAAATTACATACATTCTGCTGATTCAGATGCTGTAGAAGCTGTTGATCCAGTAGGTTCTTCTGGGACTGTAGGTGTTACTGAAGACGTCGCCGACGATTCCTTTTCTTCCGTTGAGGGCGAGGGTGATGGCGACGACGATGCCTCCGACGGTGAAGCTGCTGAAGCTGGTGTTTTTTTTTGAGTAGTTCAACTAAAACTGTTCTTGAAAGAAGGGCAAAATTACATACATTCGGCTGATTCAGATGCTGTAGAAGCTGTTGGTTCAGTAGATTCTTCTGCGGGTGTAGGTGTTACTGTCAAAGACGTGGCCAACGATTCCTCCTCTTCCGTTGAGGGTGAGGGTGACGGCAACGACGATGCCTCCGACGGTGAAGCTGCTAAAGCTGGTATTTTTTTGAGGAGTTCAACTAAAACTGTTTTTGAAAGAAGGGCAAAATTACATACATTCTGCTGATTCAGATGCTGTAGATGCTGTTGATCCAGTAGGTTCTTCTGGGACTGTAGGTGTTACTGAAGACGTTGCTAACGTTTCCTCTTCTTCCGTTTCCGCTTCTCCCGTTGAGGATGAAGGTGACGGCGATGCTGATGCCTCCGTCGGAGGAGTTGCTAAAGGTGGTATTCTCTTGAGTAGTTCAACTAAAACTGTTTTTGAAAGAAGGGCAAAATTACATACATTCTGCTGATTCAGATGCTGTAGAAGCTGTTGATCCAGTAGGTCCTTCTGGGACTGTAGGTGTTACTGAAGACGTCGCCGACGATTCCTTTTCTTCCGTTGAGGGCGAGGGTGACGGCGACGACGATGCCTCCGACGGTGAAGCTGCTGAAGCTGGTGTTTTTTTTTGAGTAGTTCAACTAAAACTGTTCTTGAAAGAAGGGCAAAATTACATACATTCGGCTGATTCAGATGCTGTAGAAGCTGTTGATTCAGTAGATTCTTCTGGGACTGTAGGTGTTACTGAAGACGTCGCCGACGATTCCTTTTCTTCCGTTGAGGGTGAGGGTGACGGCGACGGCGATGCTTCCGGTCTCAGAGAGGTTGCTGGCGTCGTTATTGTTGCTGATGATGCCAATGAGGCTGCTGCTGTCAATCCTGGTATAAAAGCCATTTGTAATGTCAGTAACGTTTGGCATTAGATTATGAGCTATCCGAAGCGATTTATAAGAGCGAAGTAGCTAATACTACCAAACTTTATTGAGTTCTGTAATTTATTGTGGTGACAGCGCCACATAGTCGGAGATGCTCAGTGCAATCGTTGATGATGAGTTGTTGGGCTTACTCATGCTGTATACAACGCTAGGATGTATGTGTCATACTCTCATCACTGAGACTTCCACCAATCGTCGTATTTACTAGGTATTTTTGTTGATGGGTGTATAGGCTATACTCGGTTTACGCTTATTCTCAAATTTCTGGTTTGCCGCTTACGCATCCGAAAAATTTCAACAGATATGGACCGTACAAGTATTTACTCACACCGCGGGCCGTTTTGGTGTCAGCAAAACTTTTCGCAAAAGACCAGCAGAAGGCTAAAGCTGATGGGGACTTTGATTTTGATACATTTGCTGCTTGTTAGTGATTAACATGAAGGCTATTAACAAGACAGACGTGCCGAAGTGAAGTAGCCTATCCAACTGGATATCTATAAGTTCATGGATCCTGGTAAGCAACTTATAAAACGGTATTCCGTGTCTGTCCTCTGGACCAAGCCGTAAGGGTCCAAAATGAGGCATACTTGTGCTAAAATGTACGCGATTGACTCATCCAAGCTGATCATGTAGTGCAGTGACAAGCGCTTGAGCTCATAATCTTGGGAGTCTAGGGGATCCTTTTCTCGGCATCATTTTTGCATTCGTTGTTTTTTTCTGTCTTCAATGATAAGCCGAACGCCCTAGCATTATCAGAAACAAAATTTATTGCGATACAGTTGCAGCTCGCTGATGCCGCTAGCGAATTTATGGTAATCTACATGTAGACTGCTGCACGACGAAGGCGCAATATCTTTGGGCGCGAATGCGGCTTTATTAACCGCAGAGCGCATGCGGCGCAGGATTTACAACGGTGAAGATACGCGCACGCTGCGTTCGCGACCGCTCAACTAATACTGTTCTGTGCTTTCGTCATGCGGTAGCCTCTATATGATAACTTACAATAAAACGTTGAGAATATATGAGGTGTTCAAAATAGCTTGTTCTTCTCATCTGAGGCTGAAGCTCTGGGTTGTGCTAACTTGTACTAGGGTCTTGTGTCAGCGATATTATTCTAGTTCGATCAAAGCAAAGTTTTTGGTGAACACGCCTGCTAATTTTTTGAATAGACTGGCCACTGCGCTACGTCGCTACGGTGGTTGGTGCAATCCGCGCGTAACTTTTGATTTAAAGGCAGTGTCCGGGCAAAAACTCGATTTTGAGAGTTTGTGCTTACTTGGGCCTATTCGCTACGCTGAATCCGAAATTGCACATTGTAGAGCGCGAAAATGGCGAAAAACGGCTCTAACATAGGAGGGGAATGAGCAGGTGGGCGGGTCCTCCCCCTGCGAACTCACGTTCCCGGCTTCCGGAGCGACCTTCTCGCTCCCGGTTTCAAGTCAATCATTCGCACTTGGCGGGTAGCGATGTTAGAACGGCTAGCGGAATCGAGAAAATCGCTCCGGGAGCTGGGAGCGTGAAATCGCACTGGGGAAAGCTTCGCCCACCTGCTGATTTTCCTCCTGTATTAGAGCCCTTTTTCGCCGTTTTTGCTCTTTCCAATGTGGATTTTCGGATTCAGCATGGCGAATAGGCCCGTATGAGCGCAAAATCTCGAAATCGAGTTTTTGCCCGGACACTGCCTTTAACTGGCTGGCGGCTACAAGGTTGGACTTTGTGACCAGTTAAGGCCGCTCGCGCCCTCTACATCTGTGTCTCTCCCCGCGCGTGCTCTCTTATCTTTGTCTCAATTAGGTCACAAAGCCCCGCCTCCCAGCCGTCCAGTTAAATCAAAGAGAACTTGTCTTGAGCGCGCGAATCGGGAAATTTGAACGCCCATTTTTTGGCCAAGAACGCTTGGCAGGTACGGAACGCTGCTTCGAAAGTTGCATACCAAGACCTACAAACATTTTCTTGGAAAAGGCACTTCGGGTCGGTGCGCTTCCCTTGTAAGATCAATGTGAAGGCAGGATCAATGGTATGCTTGACAAAGCTTACCGCTGCAATAATTAAGGCATTCATCCATGGTTCTGAAGAATCCTGGATTACCACTTTCTGGGGTGCACAATCTGCATACATACACGGATCTAAAGATTCACTCGTGATATCGCTTTCATATTGTTCTAAACTCCCTCCAAACTTACATATTGACATCATCCAGTGGTACTTTGTAGCAGATGCTTTCTGAAAATGAATCTGTTATCCATGATTGAGACAGCAAAAGTAGTACGATCTTGACTAGTTAGTTTTTCGCGGAAGTGAGCTCCGCATGCACTTTCCGACTGTGCTTTCTGTTTTAATTTAATGTTATGTAAACAGCTGAGACTGAAAGTGTCAAGAGAAATGCAGGACTGTAGGAATTATACTCTCTACAGCCCGTAACGCTCTCTGACTAAATGTAAGACTGCTCAAGCAATGCTGCTTCTGCACTCCAAAGTGTAGTGATTGGTACATATAGTAACAGTGCAGTTATATCAAATACAGTCGTTTTCAATACATATTGGATGTTTCTACCATATGCCTTCCAGCCTCAACATGACGTGGACTGGTGTGGATTGGTGTGGATTGATGCGGCGCCACCGAGGAAAGCAACGCGGCGCAAACCCGAAGCGATGCGGCGCCTCATCAGTCCATACCAATCCACACCAATCCACACCAATCCACCCATGTTGAGGCTGGAAGGCATACGGTAGAAAAAACCAATACGTATTGAAAACAACTGTACACAAAATTGTGCTGCGTCAGATTTAAGTTCGACTGCTCAAGTATTTGACAAGTAGTGACATGGATAAGCTCAGGACTTATCAAAAAATAGTGTTCATGTACAGTCGTTTTCAATACGTATTGGTTTTTTCTACCGTATGCCTTCTAGCCTCAACATGACGTGGATTGGTGTGGATTGGTGCGGCGCCGCCGAGAAAAGCAAAGCGGCGCAAACCCGAAGCGATGCGGCGCCTCACCAATCCATACCAATCCACGCCAATCCACACCAATCCACGTCATGTTGAGGCTGGAAGACATACGGTAGAAAAAACCAATACGTATTGAAAACAACTGTAAGTTTGACGCTACAGGCTAACTTTTGTTTTTGACTCAAAGCTTTGCCTTTCCGCTTTAAAGGCAATGTCTCGGCAGAATTTCGTTTCCCAGTTTTTCACCTTTTCAGAGCCTTTTAGCTGGTATATAACAAAAATGAGCTTTTTTGAAGCATTCCATCCGCATTCAGTGAAGATACGCCGGGATTAGTCGCGCCCCGCCTTTCTCCACTGAATGCGGACCTGGAAAGCTTCAAAAAAGCTCATTTTAGCCATTTTGCGCGTTCCTTATGCGGAGAAGATGAGATGAGCTGCCCATTTCTAGTCTTGTATGCTTTTTCTACGATAAAAATCGATTCGTAAGTATCGATTCAGCGAAGATGATTAGGATTTGAATCACATGTTGCAAACTGTTACCAAACTAACTCGCGGCAAAAAAAAAATTCAAAAGATCAATAATTTCAAGGAAAGCTGGGAATTGCATGGAAGTAGACATGAAAAATAGTCTAAAGTGACTCATTCAAAATGAAGTAACTGCTCGAGAAGGGCCAGTTACTGTGAACATCCAACAATTCTTGGAACTGGAAGAAAGTGATCTAAAGCCTGATCCCGTTTGAGAATATCTCATCACTGTAATAACTAAAGACTACTAACAAGAATCCTAATTCTAACAATCATTTGCAGGCTTTGTATAAAGCTGGAGCAAGCGTCGTCAATAAGGTACTGACTGACCTGTGATGGTTGAGAGTGTAGATGCTGTTGTGGTCGTAACAGTTGATGTTGAAAATGCCGCCGTTGTTTTGGGTGCTGTAATCAGTGGGCATATTCACACTGGCAATATCATTATAGCACCATCCACAATGCATTTAATAAGACGAAAATTGGTCTGCAACAGCCACGCCCCGAAAAATTTCAAAAAAGCTGAAGTGATCTTCTAAAAAATTCAGAAAGTTATTTAATTGTTCACAAATATGAACAAGTCACTTGCATATTTTTATAATTCGTGTAAGTAACTTTTGAAAATTTCGCGTCCCATTCTCGAGGAAGGGTGCCTCCCCCCCTCGTTACGCAACTGCAGCAAAAATATTGCAATAACTTGGCTGGTTCCTTACTAAAGCTCGTTAGGACTAGCCGCCATTACTTTTCATCTGGCTCATCATGTCGAAGAAAAACTATTTGATGTAGTTGGGTTATAAAGATGTAATCATGTGTATGAGGATTTCGGCTCTTCTAATAAATAGTGACAACAGTGTGACCCCGTGAGGACTTGATTTTGAAGGGCAAGTGACAATCCACTTCCGAGCATTCCGCCAAAGCTTTTTTTTTCAAAAATAGCAGATAAAGACTTCTTCCGTCTCGAACAAAAATTTTCTTTGTTGAAAAATTTAATCCAGTGAATGCGTTGCCACAGCTAGGATGCTGTGCCAGCACTAATGGTGATTAGACGATCTCATACCCCAAAAATATTATAAAATTTTGGGTACTTTTCCGTTATCCGGACCCATTTTTTCAAAAGGCTCTCATAAAATACGTTGTCTGGTCTAAGAACAATTTTTTATAGATTTTACAAGGACTGCCTCTCTGCCACGTGTCAGGAAAATATTGACACGTTTTGGCCCATTTTGACATGTTTTTTCGAAATCATTTCCGGTAAGCTAAAAGAGCGTTTGTGATCACCCAAAAGCTGTTTAATTGTTTTTTGTAAGAGCAAAACAATCTAGAACCTATATCGGAACATTTCCATCGTTTTCAGCAACGATTCAGCATTGCCTTTCTCTTCAAACTTTTCGCGTTACGAATTTAGCCAGAGGACACTATAAATGATGGCTCAAAGTTCTACGCTACTACTTGTTTTGCCACTTGAATGATGGGACCCTAGCCCATCTGGGCAAGTCTTATCTGCTTATTATTGACAGAGTGACGTTATTATGACAACAATGTTATTTTTGATACTTTTCAATCAAAAATGGGGCCACTATTGACTAGAAAACAGATTGAATTTACGTCGATAGGTGTGGCAACCCAAACTCTCCGTTAAACCTGTTAAACATGGAAATGACATGTCGAATTTTTTGACACGTGGCAGGAAGGTTGACACTCCTTTTTGTGAAGTTGGGACCAGATATGGTACGAGGAAAGAAGCAATATCCTTTTTTAAAAAAATGGGTCCGGATAACGGAAAAGTACCAAATTTTGTTCAAACTAACCCTTGCATTTCAACTCGCAATCCTTCAGTTTTCTGTACTCTTTTCGAGGATAACGTCCTACGCACACGTAGACCCTAAACGACACTTTGCTTACTTATCAGTTGGAAAGCCATTAATTATCTCTTCGTAGCACATACTTCTTGTACTTTGGATGCGGTTTCTTCTTGCAATAGAACAAAGCTGAAAATTAAGAAGTTAGATCAACCAGACAAATTCATCATTTCGCTGATGTTTACGAGAATATAATCACATCGTCTCGATTCATGCAAATATGAACAATTCAATATCGTCTGAAGTAATTCTCAGTTCTGTATTTGGCAGTGTTTTCAAAAAATGCTACCAACTAAATGTAAGTCAGTCTTTTTTTGATTGAAGGCCTGGCCGTTATTGAGTTGATCAAAAATTGATGCAACTTCCATATCCTGCCGTGGCAGAAAAGATATGAAGATGTGTATTTCAAATCATTCGTCAAAGGAAAGCGGACTAAGATGGTGTTCAAACGATCGCAAAACGTTCGATTCACGGAATGTCCAGAAAGAAATTCTGGGTCGGTAATAATCTGGTCGAAACTCCGAGTTGAAAGCTGCGCGATGACTCAGAGTTAACTGTGAGTTTCGTTTTAAAACTTAGACTTAAACTCGGAGTTTTGCACTGTTACTTGCGGAGAAGCTATAGTTGTTGAGGAGCAGCCATACGCCTCATCGCAAGACATTCCGACTAGGTCGGGACGCGAATTCTGGTTGCTCGCCGTACAAAGCGGGGTATGAAACCATTAGGCCACGTAACCACTTGTTACGAATTTGCCGTTACCCAATTAATGAGTCAAGTTATCGTTATCTCACATGTCAATACAAGTCGAAAGGCGTTAGGCTTTTCTTTGAGCTGCCTAGATGCTGTTTTCCAGAGATTCTCGAAACGGTAGCAGGAATGGACATAGAAATCAACAACCTTTCCCCGTCTTCTCAGCCTATTTTGATATGGCCTCAGGACTTCATAAAACTCCCGAAATCTGTAATTTTCGAATATCTGACCAGAACTTTAGAAAAGTTGACATTCGAATAATATCCAAAATGTGGAGATTATTTGAAAATTTAGTCATTCTCGAATTTTATGTGGTTTTCAGACAATATAACAATCTCCAAATAATTCTTTGAGGTTATTTGTGTTGGCAGGACAGTAAATACTTTTTGTAAGAATAAAAAATGCTATCTGATATGATTGCATCCCTACTAAGAAAGTTCAACTTAATATTTTTGCCTTCCTCCGTATATGCCCACCTTAACTCAGTAATATTCATTGAAAACGTACAGCTTGTTTACGATATACAGTCAGATGACCCCAACGACTTAATCTCAGCAGTTCAGCACTTAGTCTAGTACATTTTAGTGTCACGCTATCGCATGCTTCTGAAGCGAAATAGAAATAATGTTTTCGTGTTTAGCACATTAAATGATCCCTAAAAAGTTTCAAGCAAACCGTATAACACCCTTGTAGAAGGTACTTCTCTAGAACTACAATATTCGTGATCAACGTGCAGAATTATCCCACCAAATCAAATCTCATCAAATTCTGTGATTTTGGTCAATTTACCGTATCTCTACCGTAACTTCGCTATACAAGTGCTGCAGTCAAAAATGGACAACGGGTCGTGGTCAGCATACCGCATAACGTCATAGCGCCGTTTTTGAAGGCAATTAGCATGCGAAAAACCTCATCACACTAAGCTTTAGTCAGATTTCGTGATTTTCACCTAACTACCGTATAGCTACCGTAACCCTGCTCCGTGGACCTCTAGCGAAAAATGATTATCATATCCGTGATCAGCATGCCAAACAACCCTACTGCACCAATTTTCGACAAAATTCCTTTTTCGCTCAACTACCGTATCCTGAAAGTAACCTCTGTAGGGGCAAAAATGAACGTCGTATTCGTGATCATTACGTCGAATAACCCCCATGGCCAACGTTTCGCATATTTCATCTCTCGCCCTCACCCTTTCCCCCATTTAGGTTTGTTTTTTTTGCAGGTGTCAATGGTCCCTAAAAGGTGCTTGTTAACTCGGAGTTGACTCTGAGTTAGCTCCGAGTTTGAGCTGCGCGTTTCGACAGGTTTACTAGAACCTGGAAATCTTTGAATTTTCAGTGATTATATTCCTGCATTAAAAAGACTACAAACCTCCAACTTGCTCAAAAAGTCCCTGAAAGGCCACATTAGTCATTCATAATTGCACATGTTATATGTCTTCAATGGCTAGAAGATGAGAATTCAAAAGTGGCAAACTCCGGCAAAAATTGGACTGTTCCGACATAAGTTTTTGCAGACTACAAAATTGCGAAGGTAAAACAATAAGTTTTCAGTCCATATTGAGAGTGGCTGTTGAGAAGTATCGATATTCATAGAAACCCTGGTCTGTTTTTATTTTTGAATTCTCGACCATATAAAAATACGGCAAATGTAATATGCATATTTGTTATGTATAGTATATATGCCTGATCAGCTCTGGAGGGTTGCAGGACTTTACAAATTGAGTTCTTATAGGTGTTCAGAATTCTATCAATTTCCAAAGTTCATGCGAAACCGCGATTAATCTTATGCTCTATCGAATGATTTGTTTCGTACATTTTTATATCTTCTCTATCGCGGCAGGATGAGGAGTGCGCATTAATTTTGCATCAACCTACCACACATGTCATTTTATCAACTCAATGTCCACCATCACTTCAGGGTAGCTGGGTAGAGCAACAAAATTTTTTGATGGTGCCGCTTGGCTGCTCCAATGAATGAACTGTTTACTCACTTTACTAGCTTATATTTGAATAGTAGTCATTCTTACCTGCGAAAATCAAAACGTAATCTTGAATTGAATACTTGAAAAAAATGTTTACAGTAAATCCAGTGATCACCTGGTGTTGCTATTGTTGTTGTAGACACGGCCGTGGTGGGCGGGGTGCGGGGGGTTGTAGCTGTAAGATCTGCCTTTTATTTTCATTTCAACATTCGTAAAGGGGTATAAACCAAGAGACACGTTGTCGTAGTAATGCTTGTGATCGCTGCTGTACTCGTTTTTGGAGCAGAATTTTTTTGAAAGTATATCTATTTCAAAAGTTAGCACTGCATGTATTAATTATGAGCAGCTCTTCAAATTAGCATTTTCCACACCTTCAAGGAAGAAAAATACAGTCGAAGTGGTAGCCTTCAGGATGAAATGCACGCTACTTTGGAGTGCACAAAACTCCATTTTCAAATTCACCTTCTTTATCAGCAAAACGATACTGGGCGACAAATGAGGATTGAAGCAAGAAACTAAGCGCAAGTAAGATAGATATCGTCGTTGAAAAATGTTAGCTCGAATAAAAAGAGCAGTGAGTAACCGCATGTGTGGTCCGATTGTTCGTAACACAATGTGCTCAAACTAATACTACTGATCTCTTTGAGAGCTAACAAGGAAATTATGCTTAGCCATGCGGCCCTTTTAAATGAGATTTATACCATATCAAGAGCATAAAACGATGATTCCAACTCTGCTTTCCTTATTTGTAAAACGTTAGTGAATCACATTCAATATTCTGCTCCAATAAATTCTCATACTTCGTCCATAAACGTTCCACAGATGAGGAAGGCGAATTTGATATTAGCGTTTTAAGCTCTTTGATATGGCATACATTTCATCTTAAAAGGCCACTTCGACTTAACATGCTTCCCTTGTAAAAAGACCAAGACTGATTTTGACTAAGGACTATCGTGCATTCAATTTTTTTCTTTAAAAAATGCTTATTACTTCTTCTTCAAAAACGCTAATCAGATATAGTATTAAGATTCAGAATCAGCGTTTCATGTGCTCCAGAATTATTAACATTTCATCTTCAAAGGACATCTTATGTTTGCTTCATTGTAGCTTCAGTAGAATTAGAAATTACAATATACCCCAAAAGTATGTACACACTGTTTGATCGTTAATGTCTCTTATCCCAAGAACTCTTTTGCCTACTTTCGGGTACCATTTTGTAGATTTGGGATCATCTTAGATTTACAGTATGGAGCGAATCACCGATCGCTCCTCATTACTGCAGGATCACGGTAGAAACTTTCAGCTATAGCGTCATTGTGGATTAGTCGTGTCTCAGAAAAAGTTTTGAAAAAACCCGAAAAGTGACCTACCAGGGTTTTCGCGCACTTATTTCATTACTCAACTTTTTGCGAGCTTGTAGAATTTTTCAAATGCTGTAATCGCGATCTTAAGGACACCCATATGTAGCTATTGTGGTTTAGCTGGCGTAAGTTGTGAAAGAAGCGCTGCTGTAAAGTGCAAACTTCACCATAGGTTTTAGCGGCTTAAATTAGCCTGGTATAAAACTGTTCAGGTTATTTGGTCTGCTTTTTGATGCGATTATGAAACCTAACGGCCGACGACCCTTCTTGAAGTTTCTACCGTACTTTACAGTAATGAAGATTGATCGGTGATTCGCTCCATACTGTAAATCTAAGTTGAAACCAGATCTACAAAACTGTACCCGAAGGTAGGCAAAAGACTTCTTGGGAAAAGAGATGTTAACGATCAAACAGTGTATACATACTTTTGGGACACCCTGTAGATAAGCCTTGTAAGGTGCCCTAGGAAGCGGCGTCACCTAGCTACTTCATCTAAAAAAAGCTATGTCGAACATAAATGTTCGCCTGTAAGAGTGTCTTGCACTCATACTTACTAACAATAAGATCCGAATCCGCAAATACAATGATCACAACTAAATCATGTTAGTCATGTTTTTAGACTGAAAAATAGTAACTCAAAAGCTCAAAAAGGATTTTCCTAATTCACATCGTTTGCTGATCTTTCAAGGTTTGGCTCATCTTCAGAATTGTAGGCGATAAAACTACATAGAAAATACTTGAGAAGTGTTCCAAAAGTAAGATGGTTAGTATTTGCTTGCTAAATTGGAAAATGATAAACTGTTCGTGATTTTTGAGATTTATGCAAGCAAGTCATGCCTAGATGCTATCCACCTTGTCTTACCGTATATAAATCGAATGGTAATGAAACGAGAAAACGAACTCACCTTTGCAATAACGCTCACATTTTTTTCTGTTTAGGAAAATTAGCCGATTATATTGTGTGCACTTGTAACCACTAAAGGATATCACTTTTTGGTTTCAGAAAAAAAAACATTAGAGCAAAATGCTTT